CCTCCAGTAGCATCCATGGTTGGGATTGTGAGTTTTTCCGCATATCTATTATTAATCTGTCAGTGAAAGTGGATTGCAACTTTTTTGAGTTGTGTTTAATCATATATATTGTCTTTGTCTTTGTAGAATAATGATTCTCGAAGTTTAGCTGATGTCAAACCCAGAATTGTTGATGAAGCTGTGGATAAATCCAGGATTTGGAAGCTGACGGAAATTAACGACCCATCACAGTGCCGCTCCTTGAAACTTCCTGATAGTTTATCATCAATGAGGGTATGATCTGACATTTAAATTGTATTTGTTCTTCATTTTCTTTTGGCATGTGAAGCAGATCAATGCATGCATTCTCTGCTTGCCTATTGAATTACAACATTTCAGCAAAGTAAATAAATAACCTGTTATATTGCATGTAGTATACATGTGTATTCTTTGTCATACAAAATTTTCCGTCCAGATAATATTACTGTTTGCAAGTATGTGTTCAATTTTTTTGTACTAGGGTATTCCCCTCCCTTCCCTTTTGTTTTTTCTTTCTATTTTTTCAATCATTTGAATTTTAAAATTGACTCAAAATGGAACAGTATCCTATTTTTTATTTTTTTACAGATGTCAAATGGTGGTGCTGGAAAATTTCCTTTCTTAACCATTATAAACAAATATGGAGTTTTAGGAAAAGCAGTAGAGATGAAAGGAGGGGAATCCAATTTCTAAGAGACTATAAATACAAAACATAACGCAGGGTTTGAGCCACTGTGTCCAATCACATTAGACACAGTGCAACCACTAAATAACTGCTTATACTAGGAGGTTGAAACTGTCTTGACATCTGCCTAATTAGAGACAGTTATTTTGATTAATGATTGTGTTGTATGTGGCGTTTACTTTTTCCTGTTAACGTGTTTGTCAAACTGATGAGAGTATTAGTTGGTATGCAACAACTGCAAAAATCATGAGAAATGGCCAAGCAGAAGGGAAATCTTGTAGGCAGGCAGGAAGTACACCACTAGGACCATCCAAGGAAAGGAAGCAATAATACATCCAGTTTTCCAGTGTATATAAATACTAATATAGTCCCAAAATAGATCATAATTACAAAAAAAAATTCCCTAACCCTAAAAGATGTCGTTTTGGAGTCATAGGAGATAAATTCTCTCGTGATAGGAGAAACAATAAACCATATATATAAACTTTGGTTTGACCACGCCAAGTCTTTTGTATATTACATATAACTTGAATCACTTCACATAATCAAACTCCTAAAGCAGCAAATGTTTATAGCCCGCCGGCCCGCCCGCTTATCTGAGTTCTTTTAGATGCATGAAACTTATTATAGGTTTATGATATCTATTTGACTGATTAGACATTTTGTATACTATTTCAGGTTTCTAGGTTAATTTATACAAATCAAGGGGTTGCGATTTTGGCTTTGGCAGCAAATGCCGTTCACAAGCTTTGGAAATGGCAGAGAAATGATCGGAATGCTTCAGGGAAGGTAATGAAGCATCTGTAATACATGGTGTTATTTACATTTCATCGTGTTAATTGACATAAGATTGTTATTGAAAATAATCTCTTGCACAGGCCACTGCAAGTATTCAACCACAACTATGGCAACCATCTAGTGGAATATTGATGACTAACGATATAAGTGATACTAACCCGGAGGATGCTGTGTCATGTTTTGCACTCTCAAAGAATGACTCGTATGTTATGTCTGCATCAGGGGGGAAAATTTCCCTATTCAATATGATGACATTCAAGGTATATATGGCTTTCTTTTTGTATGTTTCTATATTTAAATGTAGTAGCTAAAACAGTAGGTTTTGTAGCTAATTATTTTTATTAAAAAATTCAGTTTACTGGTTATTTAAATGTATTGAGCTAAGCATCTTTTTGATAGTTTATTATTGTATTCCCAGAATTCAGCTTATTTTGTCTTTTATTTTTTGGGTTGTATTATATATTGTGATTGCATTAATTTCTGCAAATCCTAACTCTGCAGACAATGACTACTTTCATGCCGCCACCACCAGCTGCTACATTTCTTGCATTTCACCCTCAAGACAACAATATTATTGCTATTGGCATGGAGGACTCTTCCATTCAAATTTATAATGTCCGAGTGGATGAGGTATTACTCTGCAAAGTCTAAAGCTGTCAGTCAAGTTTCATAAATTGATTTTTTATTAAAAAATTGACATTAGCCTCTTTTTTTTATTTTTTTCCCCATGTCTAAAGATATCAATTTAGTATCATACATCGTTGGTTTATAAATTTTTTTGACATTGGCCTTTTTCTCTTTATTTTGGTTCCACCAAGGTAAAAATAAAGCTAAAAGGTCATCAGAAGAGAATTACCGGTCTTGCTTTTTCTCACGTTCTAAATGTGCTTGTATCATCTGGAGCTGACTCTCAGGTAAGGAATTTTAACTTGCAACTCTTGCTATGAGTGAAGCATTTCCAATGACAAAAGTCACCTTTAAGGTTTAATGCCGTGACAGGCCAGAGACGTTTAATGGTCATAGATTTTGTGTTTACCTGAGATTTCATATGGATTGTGTGTTCGCATCTGTGTGTTTCTTTTAGTAATGGTCTTTCAGCATTATTTCACTGGAGTCATTTGCGATTTTATTTATTTTGTTAATTTGATAGTAATTGTGAAGGCATCACTCGTTGGAGAATAATTCTTTAGAATGACTGCTTGTGGAAGTATGATGTTGATAATCATTATAAGTTATTGACCGCGTATATTAAGTAGAAATAAGAATGCATTCAAATTTATTTTTTTATGCCCAACAGATATGTGTTTGGAGCACAGATGGATGGGAAAAGCAAGCAAGTAAATTCCTGCAAATGCCCAGTGGACGAACCCTGGCACCTCTTGCAGATACACGTGTCCAATTTCATCTAGACCAGACACATTTACTGGCTGTTCATGAAACTCAAATAGCCTTATATGAGGCACCGAAGTTAGAATGCCTAAAGCAGGTGTGCCAGTTATATATAAACTGAATTTATGCGTTTGTTTGCTTTGGTCTGGTGGAGGGCTTGTATGCTATCTCCATTTCAATGTGATCTTTAGTTTAAGCATTCAAACTTACGTATTCTGGAACTTCATTTTGTATGATTAGTGGTTGCCTCGTGAAGCTAGTGGTTCAATCACACATGCTGCATATTCGTGTGACAGTCAGTCAATATATGTAAGCTTTGAAGATGGAGGTGTTGGCGTTCTTACTGCCTCATCGCTCAGATTAAGATGTAGAATAAATCAAACTGCTTATCTCCATCCCAACCCAAGGTGCGTTTTATTATTAGGTGTAATGAGAGAGCTGTTGGTAATTTTCTTTTCTCATATCTAACAAATTTCTTTTGACAGCTTGAGAGTGTATCCCCTTGTGATTGCTGCACATCCCTCCGAACCCAATCAGTTTGCATTAGGACTTACCGATGGTGGAGTACATGTCCTTGAACCGCTAGAATCCGAAGGAAGATGGGGTTCTCCTCCTCCAACTGAAAACGGTGCTGGGCCTAGCGCTATTTCAGGTGCCACTGCTTCAGAGCAACCCCAAAGGTGACGGTGCAATATGTAGTACTTTATTGTATCTGATCCCGCCCCCTGGCGCCTCCATTCACTTTGCAAGGGGAAGCTGCGGAACTTGGGTGTTTATAGTTTAGGATAAATCAATTGAATCAATCACCTTCTTAGTGGCTTCCTAACCAAGTTCTGCTCCGTGGGATTGTCAGAGTATGTTTACTCATCTAGGATTATTACCGAAGTTAATGTAGTGTAAATTCGGCTGGGGCAGAGCAGAGAGGAGGAACATGTTATTATTATTTATTTATTTTTTGTTTTCCTTTTTGGTTGGCCCCGCCCTTTATTTGCGTAGATTTTTATAGCTAGTGAACTAGTCTTCATAGTTTTTTTTTTTTTTTTTTTTTTTTTTTCAAGCTAAAATTAGCTACTCGATATTCAGTTGTGTTTTATTTTTACCCTCTATGCAAGGATTCTTTTAGAGCTACTTTTACGAGTGGTTGAATGCTTCTATGAAATGAAGCTACCGCTAATGGATCTTTTAGATCTGCTTTTGGTTTATTTAGATTCTTTTCACCTTGTTTTTTTTTTTTTTTTTTTTTTTTTTAGTTTTTGCAATAATGTTTAAAACATGGAGTATGTGATATTTTATTTTTACAAAAATGGATGAGCTAAATATTTGTCTTAGAATTTCCCATTTTAAACAACTGGCACGTGTAAAATCACATGAAATGTGAAATGTCAAACTTGTAGAATTAGAAATAATGATTTAATATTTTTATTTCCTATACACATAAAAGTATGTTATATAGAGCCATATAAAGAGAAAAAAAAGAGAAAGTAGAGTTTTATATATTTTTATGTGTAAGAAAATAACTTTATTTTTTATAAAATTAAATCCTAGAAATAATCACTATAATTAATTAATGTACCTCAGTGACCTCGTCTCAGATTTGAACAGATATCAAGCATTAATAACTACTGGTAAAATTAGATAAAAAAAGTGAACCAAGTTAGTTTAACTGTCAACTGTTTCATTCGATTGATCGAGAATGACATCATAAAAGTAAATAGACCCGTAATATGAAGAGTTTTTTTTAATACATAATGAATTACGATTGGGTGTAAAATATTATTATTTTTGAAAAAGATTTCATGGTAAAATTGGTACATCCAATTTGACTAATTTTGATCAGTTTTGATGAATGCCGCCAATTCGATTTTGCAACTCAACTATAATTGATTAAGCATTCAGTTTGTGATCAAATCACCAAGATTGTCTAGTTCTATAACACAATGACAAAAGCAGGTTCATTCGTTAATTCACGTCATCTTCTACCATGTTCTAATAACGATTGTCCTAAAAAATCTTACAGTTTGACGCTGTCTTCTTCAATGAGAATTAGATGGTAACTACCAAAACAGAATAATAGTTTCTCTGCAAAGCTCGTTTTCGATTACTTTTCTGTTCAATATATTTCCAAAATTACAAAAAAAATATCCTTGCGACAAATCTCAAATTTCCACCCTAGTGCAACCCTATCCGGGGACCATATCCCTCATAAAGCAAACAAGTTGCAATGGAGTTCAGTTGTACGGCTTGCTAATTTTTCCTATAGCACCGAAGTCAATTACCAACATAACCACGAACGGGCATCACTTGGTGGTTGAACTAACTGTGTACAAGCATCAAGCATACAATATCTAATATATGCAGATAGCAACCCCTGAGTTGGTTCTGCCTCTGTATCATCAACTAACTGTTTGGGTCCTTACCAAGTATCAGTAATCCAGAAGCAGTGCCCTTCCCTCCTAAAAAGCAGACTATTCCATAAGTTCGAAGAACATGGGATCTGATCTGGTTGACATTACAACTAATTCCGCCTTCGACCAGACTTTCTGTTTCTCTTACTGCTTCCTGGAGAAGATTGCTCATAAGCCACTGGTAAGACTGTTCCCTCCTTGATTCCATTTGAATCTGACATCTTATCAATTGTTTTTTGTGCTTCTAGAAAAATCTTGATATCTCTAATCTGTTTGTATCATCATTTAAGCATCACAGAACAACAAATTTGGAAAACTTCTATACAAAGAATTATTGAAGGTAGTGTTAATACCTGTTCCTCCAAATCAAGTATCCTCTCATTTATCAATTTTATTGATGCAGCTTCCCTAAATGATCACAAATTTACACATGTACCCAGAACTTGGTGCAGTAGTAAATCAAATTTAAGCTAATCAAAAAAATAGAAAAGAATATATACCTCTCTTCAGCTTCTTTAACCTTCTTTCGCCAAATTTCTTGATTTTTTATGAGCTTCCGATTGACCTAAGGGCAGAAAGATATGGCTAAATGACAGGGTTCAAGCAAACCACAAATCAAATGCCAGTAGAAAAGTTACCTCAGCAACGGCATTTCTTTCTTCTGTACACTTTTCCAGTTCATTTTGGAGATCCTGCATTCCAGAAGTCGCAGCTTCCTCCACTGCTTCAGATATGGAACTTTCCACTTTACTTTTTGCCTCTACTAGTAATGATTCATAATACTAAAACAAAAAAATGGTATTAAGGTTAATCAGATTTCACAAACAAGTCATCAAAAGATCAATAAATAGAGAGTATCATAACAATTGTCCCAAAGCCTTTCATCATGAGTGAAAGCAAACTGATTCAATGATCCAAATCCCAACTACACTGGCAATTACATCACTTCCGATGACATTTCTGGAACTGGTAAATTTCAGGTAACGTTGATAACAGTCTATAGTTCTATACATCCAATAAGGACTCCAGTTTACAGAATTATTTAAATCTATCAGAGAAAGAATTTTAAGGACATCAGAGTTAACTCACTTGTCTTTGAGTCTCTAACTGTGAGGCAAGAAGACGGTTGTATTCATCCACAATCTGTTCTCATGTTTAACAATTAATCAATGACCATCCATGGGAAAGAAAAACGAAAAATTTAGAGCAAGATGCTAACTGCTGCAGGATCAAGATACATCTAGCACCATATAATAAACAACAACCAAATGTTTGACATTGGGCCATGAAATGATGTTGAACTTCATATCATATGTGATTGCTTTTTTTCCATTTGTTCCCCATTTTATCGAATAACCCTATGGGTCTATGCCTATAAGACAGTATATGCACTGAGTATTTTACTCAAAGAGTCCAGTGTCAGTTATAGCAAACAAAATGATACCAGAGATGCGTAAGTTTTTGTTTCAGACTAGTCTTTCAAGCTTGTTTTAGCATAAATAAAAGATAAAAAGACATTTCACCAAAAAAAGAAAAGATAAAAAGAAATTCAGGAGTTTAATTTATGAGAAACATACTGCTTCAACTTTACTGCCGAAAAGGGCCCCATTAATTCCTAAATCTTCACGGCATTCACAAATACCACAATCTCCTTCAAGCGACATACAGCGAAAATTTGTCTCCTCCAACTTGCCATCAATTTTAGACTGGTTCTGGTTCAGTCGATGGACATAACTGTCACCCACGTAATCCCAAATTTGCTGAGTTTTGAAATCAAGAGAATAGCAATGCTGAGTATCTTTCCAATGCCGAATAGCATGTCCTTCTTTATATCTAGATAAAAAAGAAAAATCATGATATTAAAGTCTTCCCTGACAAAACAAAAGCATGTAACCTATTATCAAGGACACAAAATTGTGATTGTTTAATGTATTAATTAGGAGCTTTTGTACACAAGTTATTAGTGAAAATTGAAGAACTAATACTTATGGTACCTTCCACATCCAACGAATCCACAAATCATACAAATCCAGAGATCATCTAATGTTCCACAAACAAAACAGGTTGGCTTCTCATCCTGTTGCTGACAGAATTGACACACCTACGATATAAACATCATAAAGCTCTTTACGATATAATTCTCTGTCAATATAATAATCCTTCCATGCGCACTCCCAATAATACCACTACATACTGGAAGTTCCAGCATATTAAGGGTGTGTTTGGATATATATATTTTAAAAAAATGCTTTTATGATATAGCTTATATTATAACTTTTCTCATAAGCTACTCTATAGCTTATGAAAAAAGCACTAAAATTCCTTTTCTGGGTTTCAGCTTTTTCTTGAAAAACTTGTTTATCTTAAATTTTTTTAGAAATATTTTTTAATTAAAAAGCATTTTTTTTTTATAAAAAAAAAAAGCACAAACAAACGGGCCCTAAATACAAGTATACAACATAAAACAGTCTAACTACAAATAAAACACTGATGATATGCTTGCATTACAATTCATATGAAGTCATTCTATCTGTAATCATATATGCAGAGATGTATAGGACACTCTAATTTCCTTCCTCCCTCATTACTGAGAAAATCAAATGAACAACACATTCATGTATTCCAGCTTCTTAAAATCAATAATTAGGGGGGCAAATACAATGACTGGATTTTGATATGTGGAATGTGCAATAATAAGAGTCTAATTTCATACTACAAAATCAAAGAATGCATCTTAAGACATGAATTTGAGCTGATGCAAGATCAAAACATTTTGGCTATTTTTTTTTCTAATACCTTTTCATCATGCATTTTGGTACTTAAAGTGTGAGATCATGTATTAACATGATGATAAGATGTCTAAGCAAAATTAGAATATACTCTCAACTTCCAAAGATAATTGATACGGGTCGTCCAATGAAAGTGTATTCAAGAAAGAAGTATAGAAGCATGATGGTTCATGCTGAGTCAGCAACAAATCAGTTAGGGAAGGAATATTCCAGAATAGAGATAACAGAAGTTAGTTAAGCATGGGTGGCTCGGATATGAAGTATAAGAAGGATATCGGGCGACATCTTTGGTCTGGGAAACACTGTGCTTGGCTGGGAGAGACTAGAGCCTCTCTTTGTGCTCTAGAACCACTGTAACTCTTGTATTCCTTTAGTTTACTCATTAGGGACTCTGTGGTTGCTGGATATTGGTGTTTGTATTGATAATCATTTGCTATTAATAAAAGGACCTTTCTGTTTCTCCATTAAATTCTTCCCTGTTCTAATCAAGACCTATCAGTAATCCATGAGAAGTATAAGCTTCAGAATTCTATCCAATTAAATCCTTAAATCTTGATAAATCACAGGAGCTTAAGGCAACCTGAATACAACAATGATGAATTTCAAGTTTACAGAGGAAAACGAACTGCGAAAAGTGCAAAGCTTTTGGACTCATATGGAAGGCAAATTAATACATGTTAAATGCAAATTAACCTCAAGATCGTATCATAGTTAGCCTATCCAATCCCAAAACAAATTTATCAACATGAATGACCAAGCTTCTCATCAAGTATCAAGATCATCTTCCTGGTACCCATAATGCTCTAAGTATTAAGGTAAAACTAACATGTCAGCACAATAGAATTACCTAAACCAACCAAAATAACAAGTGCAATAAAATGTTGAAACAAGATTTGAAGGAACGAAGAACCTGCTCACCTGGCAAGACAAGTACGTCCACTTTGAGACACAAGGACATTGAAATGAGTGGTCACAAAGCGTTGTTAGTATTCCACTTGTATCTTGGTCCAACCTCTCTAGCATTAAAACAGTAAAACAGGAGACAGATATCATAAACATCATTTCACAAGATTATCATCGCCACGGACAAATTGAAAACAGAGAGAGAGAAAAAAAATAAAAAAATAAGAGGCTGCACTCAAAACACAAAGTCACAGCAAATACAAATGTAACTCACCAAGGCAAACTGGGCAAGTTGGTATTTCTGTACAACCTACAGGAGGAGTCCCGGAAACTTCTGCATATTCTGAGTATTCCACCGAAAGCAAAAATAAAATATGGCACACCTCAGCCTAAATTTTGATCATCATTTGAAAAGTGAGAGAGAGAGAGAAATATTAAGCAAGACAAAGTAATTTGAAACTTGAAAAGCTATTGACCACATTCACATATAAGCATACAGATTTACCTCGCCAGGAGAAAACTTCTTCCCATTGAAATCGCTATAAATTCCATCAGCAGCGAATTGATCAACAAACTTGATCAACACACTATACCGATCTTCCATCCCATCGTTCCTGTTCAGTTAAACGGACAATTGCAACTGAGAACAATTTTTATTTTTTTCCCATCAAAATGAACAATTAATGTTAAGATATGACTTAGGGTTTTCTTGCTTAAAACTGCCGTTTAATATATTATATTAGTAAGGTTTGAGCAACACAATAATATGAATTTGAAAGTTAAGTAATCGATCACGCTACCTGATGAAGAGAAGATGATCGAGGTGGTCGAGGTGGGGACCACAGAATCGAATGAAGTCGTCGAAGGAGAGGTAGTTAGGGATGGCGAGGATGAAAACGAGAGAGGAATGAGAGTTAGGGCTTGGGATCGAAGAGTGCGACGCGCTTCTGAACAAGTGGAGTACGCCTCTACGTTCGCTGAATTTAGGGTTCGATTCGGATTGGGATTGGGGAGCTGAGAAGATGAGTTGGGGATCGATAGGGTGCTCGCTCTCCACTGAGTGAACTCGGAGGAAGAACATCGCGGACTCGCTCGAATCGGAATTCACAACTCGCTGGAGAATATCAGAATTCAGAAGACCAGTGTGTGTCCAAATTGTGAATTTCAAAAATTAAAGGGGTCAAATCAAAATGTAATAATTGTCGGTTTCGCACACCATGAACTATACTATATAACCTTTTCTTACCTTTCTCCCTTAGGTATGGTTATTTTATTTTATTTTTTGATGAAATGATAGGAAAGTGAGGTGGAAATTTTTTTCTTCTTCTACGTAATTTTGTCTTATGTGGAAAACGTTTTACATTTTTTTTTTAAATTTCAATTCAATTGTGAAGAAGAAAGTTCACCTCATTTCTTGGGAACAGTATAAGTTAACTTACGAACACTTAAAATGAATATAATAGTTTTGAATACTTTCTATTAGGTTATGTATTTAATTTTTATCAATATATTTAGAAAAAAATCAATTTTTTATATGCTATCGTGTTAGGTTAATTTTTAAACTTAAATATTTTAATCTATATTCAATAACTACTTAATTACTAAGCTAATTCTTTATTAAGAAAATTTAATTTTGATTAACAAGTATACATGGACTCCTTTATTAATGAATAACATAAGACTATTGCTTACCCAAAAAAAAACATAAGCTTATTTGAATTAATGAAAAAATAAATTAAAAGTTGATAAAAACTTGACTCTTTTTATATTAACTTTTAGAGTGGTGCGTGCTGGCTTTCTATGTTGCACTGACATCGACACGGGACACAAGACACAATACTATGACACGTTAATTTTAAAAAATGTTAAATTTTAACACGATAAATATATATAAGAAAAAGTGTACGTCATTTTTTTGATTTCCCAAGGTATCCTCCAGCCGACAGCTGAAGACTAATCCTTTCGAGGCAGGAGATCACATTAAGGGCTTGTTTGGTGTGACGTATAAGGATGATAGTATAAGCTTATACTATACGTTATGACATTTTCAGTTGTTTGGTGAGATCATTGTATAGTATAAGCTTATACAACACAATCCTTTAATACATCGAAATGATGTATAACTTAATTCGGCCTAAGGGTGAGGGATAATGCCTGATAAGATATTGATGTATTAACATCGTTGACCAATGTAATCTCAAAATTTAATATATTATTTTAATATTAATCTATTAAAATAAAAATTAATTTTTCAACATATTAATTTTAAAAATATTGAATATTTTATTTTTATAAAAATTAATTTATATTTTGGACACACTGATCAATAAATATTTTTAAAAATTATAAAAATATTTATTTTTATTATATATAGTATTGTACAATGCATTACCAAATACTAGATGATATTATCTTATACAATATATTATTTTATACAATACCATGCCAAACGCTGGATAATATTAAAATTCAATCAGGTCTTATATAATCAGGCCTTATACTATCAGGCCTTATCTATACTATGCACCAAACATGCCCTAATTGGGTAAACCTTTGCCAACAAAGTCTTCTCCTTACACACAGCCAGGAATCGAACCCTTGTCAGTATGCTTAAGGAACTCAGCTATCTACCAACTGTGTTGGGCTTTGTTGGTAGTGTATGTCATTTTAAATAACATAAGTTCTGTCATTTCATAGATATAAAGAAATAAAACTCACACCTTTATTTTTCTATCTTTATTTTTCAGTGGATCCACGCCTTTTGTGTCAATAAAATGACACACATGTTTTCCTCTATATAATATAATTTACATTTAATGCATATAACAGCCCATAATATGTCATATAATCAATCAAATATTTAAAGTTCATAACATAAATATAAAGCAAGAATAATTTTCCATGACTTGTTAATTTTTCATGTCAAATTTCATAATAGAAAACATTTAATTTATAAATTAATTTTTTATATTTAGTTAAAAAAATAAAATAAAATAAAATTTGGATCTTCATGAACGTTGACTGCGTGTCCTAAAATATTGATTGTGTGTCAGAGCATGTCCGTGCTTCATAGCTAGTATACACTCGAACACAAAACAACAATGTCATAGTTTATTTTAATTTTTTTTACCAAAGGAATAAATTATTTGTCTAACTCTCTTTTTATGCCTATTATATTTTTATTTTTCTCGTTAGATCATAATATCAAAATTATAAATCAATAATCAACTGTATTGAAAGAAGTAGATAAAATAGGTATAGAAATATTGACATAATATCCTATTCATTAGACTAAAATCCTCGAGAGCTTAATTCTAGAAAATATCTAACTTTTGTTGCAAAAATGGAGTATTTAATGACGGCTGACTTGTGACTAGGTCTGGTCTATCCCTTCTTTATATACAAAAAAGCTAACTGCATATTCACATTTCTAATATTTAAAAGCATATGATAAAATCAGAATATATATGTTAAAAATGAAATAAAGTTAAGTATAATTAAATAATAAAAATTTCGTTTATATATATATATATATATATATATATATATATATATATTAAAAAACATGTATGAAATATTTGCACATATGGATACTTAACCAAAACTATATACAAAATTAAGATATTGAAGTTTAAAGTTGTAATAACTTTTCAGGCGTTATGAGTGGACAAGGATGTCAGCACGTCCCGTTCAGCCGACCGCGTCGTATTAATAAAAATCTTAGGAAGCTAAATAGATTTGCCCGTTCATTACGCGGTTTTGCAATCTCTGCCTTGCCTTGTCTTGCTTTTCTCTCCCTCTGTCTCCTCTTTCTCTCTCTCTCTTCTCTTTCTATCAAAACTTCTAACATACTCTTCCAGCACACAACAGAGCACGCAGCTCTGCATTTTTTCATCTCAACACCTATCCCATCCCAAGTCAACAGATCTACCATTCTGGCTCACAAGTCACACACACTCTCTACTCTATTCACGACCAGGTAAGGTAAAAACTCAATCCCCCACTTGCAAAAAAAGTCTCAATTTTGATCTCAATTTCGCATACCCATTATTTTTATTATTGTTTTACGCGTTCCCAATGGCATCGAGCACGATCCGCAAGGCTATTGGGGTTGTGAAGGACCAGACAAGTATCAGCATAGCAAAAGTTGCTGGGAATTTGGCTCCAGACCTTGAAGTGTTGGTTGTTAAAGCCACTAGCCATGAAGAAGTCCCCGCTGATGACAAGTATGTCAGAGAAATCATCGGTTTCACATCGTATTCGAGGAGCTACGTCAATGCTTGTTTGATCACCATTTCCAAGAGGCTCAGCAAGACACGTGATTGGATCGTGGCCGTTAAGGCACTCATGCTTGTTCACAGGCTTTTGGTTGATGGGCACCCTGTGTTTGAGGAGGAGATTGTGTTCTCAACTCGCAGAGGGATGAGGGTTCTCAACATGTCTGATTTCAGAGACGAGGCGCATTCCAGTTCTTGGGATCATGCTGGTTTCGTGAGGCTTTATTCATTGTATCTTGACGACAAGGTTGAGTTTGTGGCGTATCAGAGGAAGGTGAAGGGGGGTGGGGTTGAATCTGGTGGTGATGGTGAGTTTAAGGATGAGTTTGGTTCTGGGATGGGTAGGAGGACCAGTTCATATGGGGATGTGAATGATTCATTTGGTGGAAGAGAGCGTCAGAGTCAGAAAACTGAGGTTACCCCTGTGAGGGAAATGAGAGCTGAGAGGGTTTTGGAGAGGTTGAAGCATTTGCTGCAGATTCTTGATCGTGTATTGGGTTGTAGGCCAAGTGGTGCTGCAAAGAATAATAGGCTAGTGCTGGTTGCGCTTTACCAGATTGTGAAGGACAGTTTCAAGCTATACGCAGAAATATGTGATGTGTTGGGGGTGTTGCTCGATCGGTTCATGGAGATGGAGTATGCACATTGTGTTAAGGCCTTTGATTCTTATGTCGCTGCTGCCAAAATGATGGATGAGCTGATAGGTTTCTATGGTTGGTGTAAGGATGTGGGAATTGCAAGGTCATCAGAGTACCCTGAAGTTCAGAGAATTACTGATAAGCTTCTGGGGATGCTTGAGGGTTTCTTGAAGGAGATGAGTAATAGGCCAAAGAGCCCTGAGAAGAACATAGAGGTGAAGGTAACTGTCAAAGAGACAGAGACAGAGCCAGAGCCAGAGCCATATATCAATGAGGTGAAGGCTCTTCCAGCACCTGAGAATTTCACACCTCCACCACCACCTTCAGTTCCCAAGCCTAAGCCAGGTCCTTCCCAACAGGAGACAAGTGATTTAGTGAATCTAAGAGATGATGGCATTTCAGCTGATGAGCAAGGCAATAAACTAGCTTTGGCATTGTTCTCCGGACCTGCAACTGTTAGGACAGAAGGTTCATGGGAAGCATTTCCTTCAAATGGGGAATCTGAAGTGACTTCGGCGTGGCAAACACCGGCTGCTGAACCTGGTAAAGCAGATTGGGAATTGGCATTGGTAGAAACTACTAGTAATTTGTCAAAGCAGAAGGCTGATTTGGCAGGTGGTTTTGATCCACTGCTACTGAATGGAATGTATGATCAAGGGGCTGTGAGGCAACATGTGAGCACAACTCAGTTGAGTGGTGGAAGTGCTAGTAGTGTTGCACTGCCTGGACCTGGTAAGAGTGCTACCCCAATTCTGGCATTGCCTGCTCCGGATGGGACAGTCCAGGCCGTAGGACCACAGGATCCATTTGCAGCATCCCTCTCAGTGCCACCACCTTCATATGTGCAAATAGCAGACATGGAGAGGAAGCAGCATTTGCTTGTGCAGGAACAACAGCTATGGCAGCAATATGGGAGGGATGGGATGCAAGGTCAAGTTGGTTTGACCCGGGTTGCTGGTGGATCTGGCTACTATGCTTCTGTCCCGCAACCTATGATTCCTTATGGAATGCCACAATTTGGTGGGATAGGGCAACCCGGAGGCTATTACCATCCACCTTATTGAATTTGAATTGGCTCTCCTGTTGAGGGACTTGTTTTGTTGTGCCAAACTTTGTTTTTTCACGGCTACATGGAGCTGTCCGGAATATCTGAGTCTCTTTTTTTGTTTGTCTTTGCGTTTGGTACATATACTTAAATGTTCAAAAAATGTTTGAAGAGTTCCTTACTTCGAAAGTTATATCCGATATATATAAATTATAATAATATGAATGTTATGTCCTTATCTTTTCTCGTACTTCACTTTCTGTCATGTAATTTTGACCCAATTCTTATTTTCTTCTAATATCAAAGTAAGATGACTCAGATCCTCTAGTGTCAAGTGTTATCTGTCTTCTCCGTAACTTAAAAGTTTTATATAACCATATAATATATACCACATGGGCCACTAGACCAATTCACCAACATTATGGAGTAGGGGGTTCTTTTCGCTCTGTTTATGTTAATGTTATGGAGCAGACTATCACCATTGACGGTGTCAAGGAGAAGCTATGCTCTGGGTAAGCTGGGACCTTCTGATTGCGTTGTGATGCCCTGTTGCTTGTTCTTGAGTGTCATCATTTTTTAATTGTATATTTTGGTTTGGTGGAACAGAATTGCGGCTTTGATTATGCTTCACACCTGAACCTCGATGCTTGAGCGCGTTTTTGCCCTGGCTGATCCCATTATCACCCTTAAATCGCATTTCTTTCCAAACTGCTCTCATGGACGGGCTTGGAAGAAAATCTTTTTACTTATGTTTTTCAATTAACTTATTTTTTGTTTAAAGCAGTTTAATAATTAGAATTTTTGTAAAATAAATTTAAAAAAACAACTATTTTCATAAAATTGTAATCAGATCCATCCATGCTATTAAGCTCGAAGCTAATCGACTAAAATTCACTTCTTGTTATATCAAACATATGTAAAGGAATTACTTTATCCAGATTTTTTTTTAAAATTTCTTTCCGTTCTTAACAGGTTTAATCTATTCCTTTATTTTCTCACAAGGAAACAGAACATTAAAAGCAAACTTCTGTGTCGGTAGAAGATAAAATTAACAAACGAGAGAAGTAAGGACGTAAACATATCCAATAAAAACAAAAAGCGAATATTATTGATTAATTAATATATTTGAATAGTATTCTCACGTTGCGAGCATATCTAAATGCAACCATGTGACTGTAATTTAATGATTTGTTGCCGACAAAATTTTACATACGAGCTACAATGGGACAATCATCCATGTGACTGCAATCTCAACTACAGAAAGTTCACCATACTCACTGCAATCAATAGGATTGTGTTTCATAAAAGATTCCCGATTTTGCTACCTCCAAGACTCCATGTCGCTCAATGTCATTCCCTTCCCAATGCCTTTATACACTTTTGAACAACTTTGGGGCTCGGGCAATAAAAGCATCCGATCCTTCGACCCAAAGAACGTGGGCGGTACTGGAAGGCAATCAGCCAACAACTTTTTCTTTTCAGGCCGAGAGTTTGCAAACCACTGGTTCCATGAATATAAATGAGAAATTTGAATCCATTTCATCGAGCCCTATACTTGGTCAGATAATGGCTGCGAATCCATGCACAGATGTACCAATTTTCTTTGGTATTGCCCAAAATATTCACCAACTGCAATGACATCGTCATTCTCCGGATCTAAAGCACGCAAGTTTAGTAGTTTATCCTTAACTGATGAATCTGATTCATCATCAGTAGTACCTAAGTTGGAAACTATTTCTGCATGGATTTCACGGCATGCAAGGATAAACATTGCAGCTGTGTCAGGTAGCTGAGCCTCACGAAGAGCTGCCAATGCCTCTTGTAGTGCACCAGCAGCAACATACAAAATCAGAGCCCTGCAATTTGATCATTTGAGCTCAAATGGATTGAATAGTTTTGATAGACTTATAATTTAAAGAAAGAGAAGCCGTGGTACCTCCAGATATTATGTTCAATGTGCAGGATATGCCCAGCCCATCTTTGCAACACTCTGCAAAAATACAAAATGTAGGGAAGATCTCCTAGTGATGACGGTAAACAAGTCAAATGATCTTTTTGGCTGTCATACAAATGCAGAGACAGCAATCATGTTTGAAAATAAAAAATGATAAAATAGTGTACAAATTCAAAATGGTTCTAGAAAACTTGCTGCTTGCCTACTGCCAATAACCAAAAAGGAAGAACTAAGATTCTTTACGATATTAGACAACCGGATGGTACGTTAAAGATACATAATATCAGAAATACTAATGCGGAATTTATTTATTTTTCGGTCATTCAGCAAGAGATTGGAGGTTATGCTGCAAATGGCAGATGAAGATTATGAACTAAAGTTAATGTGGACAAAAACATCTGTTATCAAGAAAGAGTAAGAGAACCTTGCATAATCTGATCCTTTTAAGTGACTAGCAGCTAAGGTTGCAGCGTCGGCCCAGCACCCAGCATCTTGTAGCTGCATAAGATACGGCGTTTCATTTGTCTAAGAAAATCAAACACATTATATTTTGATAACCTTTCTGTTAATTTTTAGATTTGGAAAAGCTAAGAAGTCTTCAGAAAACATTTTAAAAAAACCCAGAGATTATCTGATATTGATATATTTTTCAAAAATGTTTCGGAGTTGCACACGCCTTAAAAAATCTAACTAGTAAGTAAGGCCATTTAACATCCAGCACGTTGTGATATATCAACCCATAGTACAAAGAATCACTTATACCTGGTCACAGTGATTGTGTAAAGGAGTACCTCAATTTGTTGGGCTCTGTATTCTAACTTGGAGGTCTCAATCAATTAAAAATTGGTAGGGTAATATTTATGGCAGGAGATGCGTTGCTCCCAGTTGGGTAGCCCAATTTCAGATGGATCATAATTAAAAAAAAAAAAAAAATTCCCATTACGTTTTAATTATTAATATGTGCGTAATCATCCCTTGCAGCTTCAGCCACTATGATCCCATTAAGGTAGTCTACTTTGGAAAACCGTAGTTTAAGATATTTAAAACAATGTTACTAGAGTTGATTTTCAAGAGACTAAAGGCATAAAAAGTAGAAAATGTTGTGCACGGAAGTCTGCTGAGTTCAAATATTAACAATTTAACCAATTTTTTTTTTACTACTTAACACCAAATTCAGAGTGATGTACTAAGTAGATCTTATAGCATACAGAAAAGGAACGATCCACCAAAAAAAAAAAAAAAAAAAAGGAAATACCCTAACCAATAAGAAATTTCACTTCAATAACAATAAAAACTCTGCAGCGACACTTCCTTGAACACCAAATTCCGTAGTTTTTGTTTTCTTTGTGTTAACGTGGGGTATAATATGCTATATCATGGATCCAGTTCTCATCAAAATGGAGAAAAGAAAACTTCCTTGAATGCACCAAAAAGAAAAAAGGAAAAGAAAACTTCCTTGAGATAATCTGAACTTGAAAATCACCCAGGTAAGACACCATCAAGCAATCAAGCTCTTGTTTACAACTTAGTAGTAAGATTAATATACTGTAACCCGGTAAGAGACCTTAGAAGTTGTGTGCATCTGTATGAATGTATTTGGCACTTAATACTGAATTTAAGAAAGCATAGAGAGTGCACAGAAAATTTCATTACAAATGCAGCCTAACCTGAGAACATGCTTCTTGATATCTTCCAACTGCACAGAGAAGATGCGTACCGGAGAGTGATCGGTCAGCCCTCACCATGTTGGCTGCAACAACCTAAAAAATATATCTGATATTATAAAATACTGAATACGTGAACTATATTTGTGTACGCTAACGAGAATCTGTATTTTGATGCCTAAACACATGCATGTCCCAGTTAAACTCACCTTCACTGCAAGTTCATGAAGAGACCTCGAAACAGCAGAAGAGAGAGCAACTGCGCGAAGAGCATTGACATAGAAGTAAGAGCTCTCTGGAGGAGTCGAAAGCAATAAACTAACTGCAACTTCTAGGTTTCCAACTGACACAAGCCTGATAGCAACGAATTCAAACGGAATTGCCAGGTGAAAATATAATTATAGTAATAATCCATTTAAAGAATAAAGGACAAGAAACTTCAGTGTGGTTTCTGTCACACCAGCACCTTTTCTTTTTGGAACAAGATATCAATATGGGGAGCTAAAGACCTGAACACAACGTCTTGCACATTAATGTTTCAAAAGCACTAAGAAACGGAAGGATTTGCGCTACAACTACTGAGTCTGACATGAAGACATTAGGCTAAATTCCTTCTGACCTTAAGAAGTTAAACTAAGCCATGTACTCTCAACAAAATAATAAAAGAAATGATAGATTTACTTACTCATGTATACGTTTCTGTATAGCTTCTTCATCTTCTAGTTTTTCATGCCAAGAAATTCGCTCACTAGCACTTTTCCACAACTCTTCTTGATCAAAAGCCATCAACCTTAGTTGACCTTGACTCTGCTAACCAAAATGCTAGAGTCACTTAGAAGAATTTGACACTTAACAGCAACTCTTTAAACAATTGGAATGTGGGACACAACAAGGTATGTCATGTGACAGATCCTCAAAGCAAACTACAATACATCTTACCAATACATCTCTCTCCATTTCTTCTGTTGGTTTTCCCTTTGATGATATCCTTGACAGTAAAGATGTCTCATCAACCTCAGAGACAGATTCCGCTGTGAGCCCTTTTGGTGGAGGCTTTCCCAATATGTTATTCATCCAATGTTTAAGCGCCTGAGGCAGCTGCAGCCAAAAGAGAGCTTCCGGGGATTCACCAAACATTGTAGCAGCGAAGGCAAACCTTGCAGCACAACCTTTATCAACAAGACTAGCATACAACTTGGCTCTCTCATCGTCAAGTATGCAACCTTAAGAAATGGAAACATTGGAAGTATTTTTAACACCAAAAGTATATCTCAAACGTAAGAATACTCATAGTTGAAACTCTGGACAAGATATAGACCTTCTTTTCGATAAGGTTCCAATACTTTTAAAAGCATCTCTGGCACCACAGTGTCACCAAGAGGTGGTATGTTGATCATGTATGTGCGGAGATCTCCTGTAGATGAAGGAGTTCCTGGAATTAAGTGAGGCCTCTTTTTTATGGTCGTACTACAAGTATTAAACCAAGAAGGTTTAACACCTAATTGCAAGATCATGCGCAATGCCTGTAGCAACATCAGTTATGTTTAATGAAGAACTAACAAAATTAAATAACAAAGAGCTGATGACCAACATAATCATAATTTATACAAGAATAGAAAAATTTGTACAAGTATTTCAAGAAAGAGAAAATGGAAAAGAAAAAGCAAAATATAATTAGGATGAATTCTACAGACTTAGGGTAAAAGTGAATTATGGTCAACATAAACTAAAGAATGAAGCGTAAAACTGACTTGTATTTTTTTTTTGGAAATATTCCAATCGGTTCATCACTTCACGACTAGTCCGATTCGGGGCGGGTCCCAGAATTAAGGCTTTAAACCCCTCCTAAAGATTATGCTGGGGAGGATCGAACACATGCTCTCACCCCCACCTGCTTAGTTCCCTAGCGCCAACTGAGCTACCGTCATTTGGTCTGACTTGTATTTATTAACAAAGGAAAGAGGAATATTCAATTTAATTTTAATTTTTTTCCAGTAAGAAAGCTTGTTCCAGATTAAATGAAAACAGATATACTATTACCTGGAGAAATTCAAAATGATTCATACTCTACAAATCATTTCCGTTTCATTCCTTAAAATTTTAATGTTACTTCTCACATCCATTACCACACATGAAATGTAATGTTAACGATGTACTGTTATCTTTAGAATAAAGACATTCAATGTGAGAGTTGAATATAGAGCTTTGGTAGCAAATAATGACAAAGAAAATATACTATATAGCTAGTTCAGTAAAATCAGTAAATTTAAAGCTGGCATACTACCAGGGCATGTGGTGTAGGAAGTAGTATGGGACAACATATAGGCATTGACCGGAATCTCTCCTTTATGTTTCTGATCTGGAGTGCATAACCAGGTCTTTTATCATTTCTGCATGAAATGAACATGTCATTCACAAAGTCCATTTTAGAAACCGCTAAAATTAAGACAACTCTTATTAGATATGTGTCATCTAGATAACAACCACTTGGTGACTAATTCACCTTGAAGAGAATGCTAAAACAATAAAAGGTTTGAAACACAATAAATTAAATACCCAATGATGTCACACTGTGCTGAGCTGAAAAATTATTCCACATTAACATAAATATTTAAAATTATATATATGGGGCAGAATCCTTTGACATCGGTGTCAAATTTTGAAATTTGACACCAAATCCAAACCGTTGATTCCCGTCAATCAACGGTTATGATTCCCGCCAATCAACGGTTATGATTTCCGCCAATCAAACTTATTAATTATATTTAATTCTCAATAAATGATAATCGTTGATTGACGGAAATCAACGGTTAAGATTTGGTGTCAAATTTCAAAGTTTGACACCGGTGTCAAAGGATCCTATCTCTATATATATATATGTATGTATGTATGTGTGCAAATTAAGATGCATGATGGTTCAAATTTTCTAATCTCTTTCACCTTTCAGTTGCATGTCCAATAAATGTTCCTTCCTACCTCCCCCTCCCTCTTCTCTCTCTTTATATATATGAGAGTAGCAGAAGGAAAGAGCTGAATGCAACAACAATTGAGTGACATCACATACCGATTATGTTAACCTGTTTTAGATCTAAATATTTCGATGTAAAGATGAATGTTTTCATAATTGCTAAAATCCTTTCCCACCATCCATTCTAGTCCAAGCCATTACAACACCATCTAGACACCAATCATATCCTGATACAAAGGAGGGAAGGAGCTCATCACTCTTGACTCCTGAAAATGACTAGTGGCACTTACACATTTATTTCAACAAGACGAAAGCTACTATCTGCTCCAGCAATGCACAGTACCAGTGGATCATTCTTATTAGTTCGTAAGGGCAACCAGTCAAGTTCCAAGACAAGGGTTCCAGGAAATTGAGGCTGTAAAACTGAATTGGCCAAGGGGTCTGGCGAGTCCTGCAAAATAAATGTTGAGATTTATGATCAAATAATTACAAAAGGTGTTCTTAGCATATAAAAAAAGAGAACATTTCTTTTTCTTCCCCAAATAGCAAATAGCTAGAGAAGTCTATGAAAAATGATAATTGCCAAGCCTATTTCTTTATATAATAACATTCAGTTTCTTAGTCTTCAATCCCCAGCAAAAAAACAAATGTTAGATATGAATTAATCAAAGTTATGAAAATGCTTATCATAAGCAGTACAAATATTTATGCAAAGTATGAAATAAAATAACAATTAAACTTCACTCATAATCCAGAAAAAGTAAAATTCCTATCTTACCAAATCAAATACAGAAAAAGTATTATCATAAAACAGAACAGCAATACGCCCGCGGCTATGGTCCCCTGGTACAAAAGGTGTGAATTTGATTCGCCGGATTCCTTCTCTGTGAGTGTTGAATGAGGAAGAATGTCCAGTTGTCACATCCCACCATCTTATGTTCCCTATTCTGTCTCCCATGACCTAAAAAACTAATTTAGTCAAAATCATCATTCAATTTAGAACAAATTCAGATGATCTATATATATATATATATATATATATATATATTTGAACCAATTCTAAAGTAACATTATACCACATGAGGCAGGCGGTATGCCATTGCAGTAATCAATCCATCTGATGATACAAATGAAGAAGAAGGCCATTTTGGTCTGTGGACAACACAAACTTAATTAGATAAAGCAATCATAAAGGGAAAATGGCACGAGTGATGTATTGTATAAAAAAAGAAAGACAAAAAATACATCAGATCAGTGATTAACCATTAATAACTGCAAAAAACAATGAATATACAAGACAACTTACACATGCCTTGACAAGGATAAAATAATGATCAAGATTCAATACAAATTTAATAGTTCATACATCATGAAAAACAACACAAATTGCAGTAATGCACTTTTTTCTTAATGTAAAAGAGTTAACACCTGAAATCTCGAATTCTTCTACCATATACTTCAAAAACTCCAAGTGCCCCATTCGCAAGAGCAAATGCAAAACTTTCAGAAGTGTCATCATGAGATCCCTCTGAGCTTGAACCCTCTGCTAAGAGAAATTAACTTCAGTCATAAGCTATTTTTAATCTTACGCAAAAAGGGAAGCAACCATCAGTTCTAGACTAACAAGTATCCTGATAATATCTAAGGACTTCAATCAAACAACTCACTTGAATCTGACGAGGAAATATTTGATAGTTTAGATGCTTCATCCGATGCCCCAGATGTTTTATCCTTGGAAGGACGCGGAACTGTTGGAAGAGTCCATTCCAATACCGTAAATGGAAGAGCTAATGATCTAAGCTACATAGAGATAGCAAACATTATAAATATCCCGATAAAAGAACATATAGTTTCAACCAAAATATGTAACACCTAAGCTACGGACATCAGAATTAACCTTCCAATATTAAAAAAAGGAAGAACACTCTTAAAAGTAGGGCATTGAATTTACAAAAGAAAAGTGAAGTCAAGACATCAATCATGAACACAGGAAGTTAGCTTGTGTTAAACAAGTTGTACTTGCAATCATGAAGGAAGCATTTGGAGCAAAAACTAGATCTGGGTCCAAGTAAGGGCTGTCTTTACCAAGAAGGCATTAGCACTCAATTTCAATGCCAATTTAGAGGACAATATTTATCCTTGTCCAGTTTTAGGAATACACAAAATGTGATCTGAGATTAAAAAAAACACATCAAAACATTTGTTTTAAAAGGCCATAAAAACAGGTGTTATAGGACAGTCAAGGGAAGCTAAGCTATGGAAGGGAAGGGGATATTGAGGGAGACAGAAAGGGAGGTAATAGAGAGGAAAAAGGTACATGAGGTAGATTGAGAAGAACAGAAGTTTACAGGCAATTTCAATTCAATATTCAAGTCCAATTATCATTAGAATACAGAAGCATCAATTAAATAGGAAATATTACTTTAAATTGCATAAAACCCCTATTTAACCTTATTGTTGAAACTATTGGGATGTATATTTTGTAATTAATTCTGATTTGATTTGATTCTCTATTATAAGGTAGATTAGTTTCCCTACTTTTAGCACTTAAATTAGGAAAATAATTATTTGGATTTATTGCCATTTGGCTTTATATATTGTAGCCCTTTGTATATGACATAATGTGAAATAATATTCATTATTTCCCATATTTCAACTATTACAACGTATTCTCAATATATTACTCCATACTACTAATCATTTTAATATCCATATTCTATATCATGTGGATCATCCTATCTCATTACCCATCAAATAGAGAAACCAAAAATTTCACATTTAGAGAGTAAGTACTCCAAAGAACGGAAGTCTAAATATCAGGAGTCAACAAGAACAGTGAGGTATCACCCAGAGCCTAGTACATAACTAAGTAATTGTACTCAAGATTATACATACTTAAGCCAGTTATCACATCACATCACATACCAGAAATTAAAAGAATAGATAAAATAAAATTGAGGGGCAAGGGGGTTTCAAGTGCATCAACCAACCTACCATGATAGGACTTTTAGTCATTGCCCAAACTTCCACAGGTGCATCACGAAACAAAATTAGAAGATACCTGAAATATTCAGATATTAAACTATTGAAAACCATGATGTCATTACAAATTTATCAGTTAAAGTAGGGTAAAAGTGAAGCAAACAGCTATTATAGAATATAGATGAGGTTGAAGAGAAAATATAAACATCTGGCACAATAGTCTGATCAAATTGGATGGAAAACTCTGCCATAGAACCCCCGCCCCAAAAAGAAAAGGCAAAAAACTTGTTTTCCATGCAAAGAAGTTTTAGATGTTTAGGACGATAGCATATTTCACAGCTTAAGGATTCTTAACAATCAGAGTGGTAGATGTGAAATACAAAAGAATAGAAATGAAAGAATGAAAACAAAAATTGAAAACTTGTAAACACTCAAAGTGGTTATTAACACAGAAGTCTATCCTTTGTGGCAACAAAAGATAGGTTGAGTCCCAACACTCCCATCATCTGCAACACAGATTGCAACATTCTACAGGACACCCTTTTGCAAAAACAGCCAGAACATTCACTAAGATCCCAAAGGTAGGATACACAAAGCATGTATACCTGAACTAAGAATAACTCTGTATAAACTCTAGCATTTGTTAAGTCACTAAATTCAATCTTGCTAGTACAAAAATGTTGACATGACTGAGCCATTAAGGCTTACAAGTTTTGTACTAACTACTAACACATCAGTATAGACTATAGAAAGAGAAATAGAAAAATATACAACCAAAAGAAGATCCAGAAACTAAATTAATGATAATAACAAAAATATAGCTTTGAGATTCACCTTCCAGATGAAGATGTTCTCAAAGCTCTTATTGGCGCACGTTCGGGCTTTTGCAAAACTCGGAACATCTTGTTAAGGCCACTTCGAAGGCAGGTCACAACTAGCTTGTTAACATATCCTCCAGACTTTTCATTAGCCTGAGTCCAAAAGCATAAACAATAACGATTGAACAATGGTGCATAAAATGCTTGAAGGAGGAATCAAAATAATAATGAAGTAGACATTACGTAATATGCTTGAAATATAAAGCCTAATTTGCAGACAGAATTGACAGTAAGACACTAAAATTAGAAAACAAAGACTGCAACAGAAAGAAACAAACTATGTAAGGAAATAGCACATTTAAAAAAGTTTAAATGTATGGATCAAGTTATATACCTGAGTATAAGAAAATGAAACCAGTCTGGAATTTCCTAGCCATCGTAGTCCCCTGACAATACCATTATGGACAGATAAACTTGAGGTAACAGCATTAGCAGAAACATCAACAACATCTATTGTCCCACTTTGTGTTCCCAAAGCAACAAGGGGAACCGCTGCTGCAGGATAATTTCCTCCACCTTCACATAACCTTATCTCATTAATCAACATGGAAAACATGGAACACATAACAACCTTAAAAAAGGGTAATGCTAGATCTGAACAAATATGTAAGTTGGTGGGAAGATAGACTAACGGGCCAGAGTAGCTATTAGAGAAGGGGTTGGTACTGCCAGCATGGTCACTGTTGAAGAAAGAAGCTGAAGCTGTCCAACTAAGCTAATCTGCACCAGAAGGAAGAGGCAAAGCCGTTTGCAGATATTAGTCAACATCAAACATTTGAAACCAATACAGGAAATCCAAATAGGTGCTACCTAGCCATTCGATGCAGTTTTTCAGTATAGAAAAGTCAGCACTCAGATTATCACGTAGAACATAAGTCAAATAACAAGAACTATGACCCCCGAGTTTGGAATGTGTGATCCTACAAACTGCCTCTAGTAAAAAACAATTCATTGGAATATTCACTTCGGTGCTGGACAAATGATGACAGGAGCTTAGTTACAATTTGATATATATTATGCTTTTGCATCTTCTTTAACTTGTTTATTGTAAAATGTCATTTTAATCCAAAAGCTTAAACTATTAGGTGAAAGCCATATCAATAGTTTTTATATTATATTCTCTAACATGCCCCTTCACACAAGGGCTCATTGGGCTTGAAGGGTGGATAATGCATAGGCCCACCTACTTATGCTAAGACACTCCATAATATTTAATTATTTATTAATAGATTGGGGGTTATGAGGATCGAACTCATGGTCAAAGAGCCTTTGATATCATGTAAAACACCATTTCAACCCAAAAATTTAAGTTGTTAGGTGAAGGTCATATTAATGGTTTTTATATTATATTTCTATAACATTTATTTTCTTGGAAGGCAGAGTAGCTTGGGAAGGAATAGCTATTCAGGACTTGGTCATTGTTCATATAGATATATAACTAGGGCAAAAAATAAACAGCAATTGAGACTGCACCATAATCCTTGTATGTGTGAGCACACATAAGTTTACTACATGCATATGCAAAACAGAGGGATTCATACTAACACTTAGTCCCATTCAAAATGCATAAGTTGATTGCTCTTCAATTAGTTGCTAGAAGCTACTGCACTATTGTTTACTGATTTCATTGTAATCACCTAGATCATGTGTTTTGGCAACATTTTTAATTTGAATTCACGTAATTTACATGACCTATTGTCCTTCTCCCACAAGTATCCAAACTTGATGCAAGACAGATGCGGCTAGGTAGTATCATAGCAGATTGCTTAGAATCCACCAGGTAGAAAATCTGGAGTCGACTGAAAAATCTGGAGTCACCTTGGAATGGGATTCATAACTGAAAATTAAGTTGTTCTTCCTTTTACACATGACAAGCTCTTTCATGGGCATAATAAACCTGACTAAGAAGTTAACGATTCTCCAAAACTTGATTAACCCATGTAGTATCCTAATAGGAATATAATTATAACATGGTACAAATCACCTAAAAATTACCTAAAATAACCCAAAAAATTCTCAATAAGAAAATTACTTATAATTCAAGAATCATTGTATAATTATCAATGAACCACATTTCCACTTCATTAGTGCTCCACTTGAAAAGAAAACTCAATATCGAGCATTTAGGTTGATCCTGAAATCTTCCAGACCACATATAAAAGGCACTATGAATAATTGAAGAATTGGAATTTCTTCCCTGACTTGATCCCCAATTTTTAAACAAGGATTCATCAACTTGAATCCTTGAATGATTTGTTTGATCAAAATATCAAACGCCCAATGGAATTTGAGTAGAACAGATCTAACCTAATTAAATCAATGCATTATCATCATTGATGTTCTAAAGATAAAAGGTCCTAAAAGTTACTTCTTGAGCACAGTAAAGCTGATTCAACTTGAAAAAAAAAAATCCTCCACGATTTTAGCTTGACTGCCTCCAAGAATATCATCAGGGAAGATATCGTAGACCGATGGAGACTTCTAATCTAACATACTATCCATAATGCTTTAATTCATTAGTTTCCTCCATCACTTTCCTCCAATCCACCTCATACCATTTTATTAGCAGGTCCAATGTCATCAAAGGGATTTTAATCTTCTCCATCTTTAGTTTCATCTTTCTGATGACTTTTCAAAATATCCAAAGTATTGTGATCACCTTCTGGAATCTACATATGGGCTCCCACATATTCCCGTGGCTTCAAATCATGTATTGCACACAACCAATTTTCAATCATACACCATAACTCAAGCAATTCTGCTCAATGTCTTGAAGGGGACTACGTATTATTCTTGCAGATGACCTAGAATATAGAAACTTCCAAAATTTACCAGGACACAAGGAAAATTAGAGAAAAGGAAAGGTGTGAGTAGAAAATAGGAAAATATATCCACCTCAGCAAAGACAGTATCTCATTAGTGTATGCAGGCTCTCCTATCCCTTTCCACATCTGATAGGCAGGTTCCCTTGATGAAGTCATTGTCAGAGCAACAAAGAGAAGCCATAGAGACTTTTTCATTCCAAATACACGCATTTTGCTTCATCTAAATACAATTGTTCTGCCATAATTGTGTTAGAAATGGTTTGTGTTTAGTTATAGACAGACATGTGACCTGACCTGACAAGATATTTTCATGGATATTCAATAGTTTGGTCATCACATAATCTTTCACAGTGAGTGTTGGGTGTATTGGGATCAGGGTTTGTATCGATTTCTCTTCTTGCTCTCCTGTGTGCATGTAATTATAACAAATTGCAATACAATCGTTTCTTGTTTTACGTATAGCAATCTCTTTTATAGGCATACTTTTACTTAATTGAGAATTGACAAATTTAACAATCTTCATAACTTCCCTAATTATGGATATAACCTAATAAACTACCTACAAATTATGGATATAAAAATCTTAAGAACCAATACTAAATTATGGCTGACCGCTGACCGCCTTTTGACCAAAATCAAAACTAAATTTGATTTATTAACATTTTGAAACTTCATAGCATTATATCACCCCAAAAGAAAAGAGAGAGAGAGGATATTGGGAACTTCAAAAAATTGGTTTTAACTATTTGTTCAGAATTTCCCAATTCGTGGAATATAGAAGCTGAAGCAAGAAAACATTAGCCAAGTGAAATATTAAGACCATGAATTACATACAAGCAGTAAATAAAATCAAGTTATTAACAAACATAAAGAAACAATTAAATTATACAATGGCACTCTGTCTATTTGCTTGCAAGGGCTTAAAATATTACAAAATATGCTGAGAAACCATAGCGGCACCCAAATTAAATATTAATAGGCCATTAAAGTTTGTATTCTCTATATCTGTGTTCTCCAAGCTTCCCTTTTGACCCATCAATGTAGGTCTGTAGGTAATAAAGCGAAGCAAATTTATAAGTACAAACTTACATTTATTAAAATCTCTTCCCGGTTGAAAACTGAGCTTGAAAGGGAGCTTCTATTATCATTGAGACGTTGCTTTTGCCTGCCCACGTTTTGGTCTGATCTACCAGCAGATGATACTATGGTGTTAGAGTTGGCCCCAGGAAATAATACTGTATGGTCATCATTGACCAAACCCAACTTCTTATCTTCCTTTTGAGTGTCTGCATGCCCTTCAGCAGTCAAGAGCCAGTTCCATATTTTTCCATCATCAGAAATGGAGATCAAATGTATCTTAGAAACAATAGTTGACTCATCACAAAAATCAAAAGGATTATCAAAATCCTCGCGAAGGTATGGAGAACTAGGTAAATCAGAATAATTATTGCCAATGTTCTGAACTGTTGAATCTGATTGGCATAAAAGGACAGAAAGTATTGAAGGAGAAGGGACAGAGGTACCAACTGATGGCATTAACTCTTCCAATGAGTACATAATATGTGCTTGTTCCCCACTGTGATCACATGCAAATGAGTATAACTCTTAGTTACAGAAAAACATTGCAAGTAAATCAGCAAGACCGCTAATATCAAGAAAATAAAGAGACTGGAAGAGAGTGAAAGACCAAAAATATAGGAAGTATCTACTGAGAGATGGATGCATAGATATTTTTGGGCATTAAACACTCTTTATGTGCAGCCATTGGCCAACAGTGCTCTTGAAATGTCAAATGACATTAAAAGTGATTATAAATTTGTGGAGCACAAACTTCACACAAAACAGAGCAAACACAAAATGTTACCGAAACAGCTCAAGATACACATTTAAATCAAAGTTGATTATAAACAACCAAATGCTGATGATTTGTACCATGAGTCATGACTCGAGTTGCATGCATCAGCGACCAATAACTATTGGAAAACTTATAGAGATCAAATAACAAGAAGAAAAACAATAGGACTACATGATCCATTTTCTTATTCAACCCCTTTGATAGTAAAGGAGGCCATCACAGATATACCATCTTCTCCCTTGATCATTTGATCACCTCACTTAAAAGTGATTCACTTCTTGTGGGCAGGGGGGGATAGCTTCACATAAGGACAGTCTCACTTCAAATGGCGGTATCTTTCATACAGTTGTCTCAAATACATGGAAATTCAGGATGTTTGACACTTACAACAACCAAACTTCGACAAACAAAAATAGCAATAACAAGATCAATATATAAAAGAAAGTTTCTACAATCTTATATTCATGGATATTGCCTATATATTTATATATATATGAATCGTCAAAGCATCTTTATGTTACTCTCTTACAACCACTAAAACATACAAACTACAGCACACTCTACATACTCATCTAAATTGAAAGGAGTGGTATCCAAATTAAAATAAAAAATAAAAAATCTAAGACAATAAACGCTTACGGTTTCCTCCTCCAGGTGCTGAGCTTGCCATCAAGATGAGCACAGTAGATCCACTCGTTATTCGGATCAGGCAATACGTCAAGAAACTTGCCGCAACCACGAGGCAACGCAGTAGAAAAAATCACAGTCTCATACTGCAAGTCAAACACAATCAATTCCCTCGGAAACGTGACGAACAAAATGTGCCTCCACTGCTGGGAAAAGTTGAACCTCGCCGCGTAAAGAGGAAACGCCGCGGAAGAGGGCGATGGCCCCGCCGCCGCCGAAGCAGCAGCAGCCCCATCTCTCTCCAGCTTAACCAACTCGCTACAATCGGTCCGAATCTGAAGCTCCTTGACAACGATACCGTCCTCACTATCGCCGAGAACGACGAGGGACAAGAGAAAACCCTTGAGGCCAATCGCGCAGATGCGGCGAGAATCGAAGGGATCGCGGCGAATGCAAGAGAAGAATTCAGGAGAAGCGTCGTACTTCCAAACGCAGCGTCCAGTGGAAGCGTTGTAAAGCGAAAGAGTAGAAGGACCGTTGATTGAAGCGATGAGGTACAAGTCGGGTCGGGCCTGGACCCAACAGAGGTCCTGGATGCCTAATTTGGAGTCGGTGTCGAACCAGAGTAGCGCGGACTTGAGGCGGAAATCGAGGAGAGCAATGCGGCCTTGGCGATCGCCGGCGGCGAGGAGGAGATGAGATGAGGAAGGCTCGGACGAGAGGAGATGGCGGTTGAGAGGGATTGGTGTCCAGCGGAGGGCGGTGACGAAGGGAGCGGCGGAGGAAGGTGGCGGAGGGATGGGAAATGAGGAGAGTAACTGCATGGAACGTGTGTCGACGATGGAGATGGAGCTTCCGGAAGGGAAAGCGAGGAGGCCATGGGAACTGAGATCTGCGGATCCAAAGTTGTTACGACTGGGTGGACCTGGAAGCATGGATTCCCATGAGTCTTGTGATGATAATGATAACGATGATGGTGATGATGATGATGATGGTGCTCTTGGACTCACCAACATTGTCTCGATCTGAAGCTTAGGAGAATGGGAATGGAGTTTGGTTTTTGTTGTAGCTACTACTACTAGTCTTCATATCAGAGCGCGGGTCGAACCTTCTCTTCGATCGCTCGCTTTTGATTTTCGTTGGTTACGGCAAATGAAATAAAAATAAAATAATAATAATATAAAGAGCGATATTTTTTTAAAATTAAAAGTTACTTTTAAGTTAATATTGAAAAAAAAGTTAAAAACTATTTCATGATTATATAAAAAATTTAACTTAAAAATTTCAGAACTTTTAAGCTTAGTGTACGTTTCAGAGCTTGTAAGATAAAATTCCCTTATTATATCATAATTATATTATATAAATGGAGTTGGGACAAGGAAATTTTTATCTCACACTTGTTTGCAATTTTTAATTTTAATGAGAGGAAAAAAATTAGACAATGTCAATTTTGGGCCAGAGGTAACAGTTTTAATGAATACTCCTTGAGTCGTTGGGAATTTCTTCCCTTATGACTTAGTTTTGTTCTCTTTTTTCTCGTATGCTCCTTGAAAAAAGATTTTTAGAGAATTTGAAACTTTCGAGTTCCAAATAATGGGAACATATTCTTCTCTTCCCTGCTTTCACATTTTCTTTTGATTCTTTTTTACTCATAGCTCCTTACCATATCTTATATCACATTTGATTATTAGAATGGTAACTTCATTGGATGCTTATTTTATGAAAAAATTGCTTTTTCATATATGTTATGTTTTTTTTTTTTTTTGTGGGGGGTAGATGCAGCGGAATACAAATATAAAAGAAGTATAATAGCTTCAAATAATTGGAATTCCAGTGACCCAGTGGGGAAAAAAAAAGCATAATAATATAGTGAAGTGCAATTTTTATATTAAACGTGAAAAAAAGCATAATAATAACTACAATTTTTATATTGATATCACAACAAATTTATAAAAGATATTTGAAGTGTTTTATTCATGAAACTAAACATGTTTCGATGTTTCTTGTTATCAAAACAATATTTGCTATTTTTTTACGGTAACACCTTTACTTGGGCTTTTAGGGTGACAAACCTTATGATAGAGGGGAATAACTTTTCCATTGTTAACCAAATTCAGAATCTTGACCCTAGATGCCCTGAGTCTCATCTTATGAAGGATATAAGATCTTGGATGGGTAAAGACCGGAGAATTTGTGTGCATGTACCTTCAGATAAGCAAATTTTTGTGCTGATTGGCTTGTTCACCAAGCCACTACTTAAGATGTTTTCTTCCAGCAATTTACCTCTGCCCCTCCTCATTTATTATGGCCTTGGATAGATTAGAGGCTCCCATAGCTCACAGTTAATTATTTTCATTTTGCTGCATTTTAGTTTCTTGTCGTCTTTTTCTGTTTTCCTTTGTTTGGTTTGCTGGGCTTTCAGTCCTCCTTCTATACTAAAAAAAAAAAAGTTAAATTTGAATACTATATGAGAAAATTTAACAGAATATTTCAGGGAGAGGTATTCACGTCATTAAAAAAAATGATTTTATTCTGCATTAATTTTTGTATCTAGTTAAATGTGAACTATGAATTGTTAAAACAAGTTATTCCATTTTGAAAATTATTAAAATGTGAATAAAGTGCGTAGTAGATAAAATTAACTTTTGATTTTGATTTAGCTTACAAAAACTATCTAATATTTATAGGAGAATCATTACTCCTGTATAAATAATTTAAGTGAAATTTTCTCAATGTTTGAGAAATTATTAACTTTTAATATTATATGAACATGATTGAATTAAAAGTATATTTAAAACACAAGGTTTTTTTGAAAATTTACATCCATTAGCACTAGTGGATCAATTATACCTACGGGTAGAGGTGGCAAAGTGGTGGTCCGCCCCGTCCCGTCATCAATACGTCAAAAAATGAACCAGCTAGTCCCGTCCCGTTGTTGAAAGTGGGCTAAAAAACTCTACCCGCCCCATCCCGTTTTGAAAGTAGGCTAAAAAACTTTACCCGCCCCGCCCCATTTGGTGGGCTAGGTGGGTTAGCCCGTCAGCCCGAGCCTATTTTACACTAACATGCCTCGCTCCGCCTATGCCTGCTATCAACTCGCCAAAAAACGAGCCCGCTCCGCCCCGCTTTTGAAATAAGTTGTAAAACTCAGCCACACTGCCCCGTTTGGCCGGTTGACCCGTTTTGCCAACCATACTTACGGGGTGCATGACAACCTTCCCAGAATTATTTTTTTCTTTTAATTTTTGTTACCAAAAACAGAAATTGATAGAAACAGTGTTTGACAAAACTGGTTCTTTTTTTTGTTCCCGATAATGAGCCGGTTCAATTTCTGTGTTCTGAAATACAAAAAAGAATTTAAAAAAATTGTTTTTTGATTCACGGGCACAAAATGAAAAACATTTATTTATATCAATCACTCTCCACAACTACCATCATCACCACCACTACCACTGTCCCGACACGACCGCTGCCATTGTCGTCGTTGTCGTCACTGCCACCATCACCACCACCTCCACGCCTCTGCTACCATCACCACCGCCTTACCAACCACCACCACCATCGCTGCAACCACTGCTATCACCACCTCCACCATGTTATCACCATCACTACCATCACAATCGCCACCACTATTACCGTCGCCGCGCCCACCACCATTGCCGCTATTACCACTATCATTATCGTAGCCACTGTCGTCACCACCACCACCATCGCCACCACTACTGCCACCGACACCATTACCAACACCATTGTTGCAACCCATGTCGTCGCTATCATCGCCAGCATTACCTCCACCATCGCCACAGTCACTGTCGTCACCACCACCACCATCGCCACTATTACCACTACCGCCGCCATTGTTGAACCATGGGTTCTAAGCCTATACATTTGAAGTTTTGATGATTAAATAACACCAACAAGCTGAACATGGATGCACAAGTTAAAAGGCAGTGCAACAAGTCCCCAGTGGCACTAAAAGATCAAGGCAATATGCAAAAATAAAGAAGTCATTTAAATATGCAAAGTTAACATTAAAGTCAAAGATTTAAGTGAAGAAAGGACTTAGAAGAATCAAATAATAGAGACAGATGAAGATAATTGAAGACTTTTATTTTGATTATGTGTCAGGTGACTTTAGAGTCATAGGGTGTATGAAGTTGAGTTTATTGAGCCTTATTTCTCTATATTGCATTTAGAAATATAAACCCGTGCATACAAACCTCACACATGCGGAACACAGTTATATTGATGCTAAAAACATGCATTTATGTGTGATAAGTGAGAAATAATCAATTAGAAGTAATTTTGATCAAGTTCGGATTAGTTTTGGGTTGCTATCATCAAATACTCGGATATGGATATTGTATATCCGAATATCAAAACCCATAATATCCAGATACACAATCTCACATATTCAGATATTTGTCGATGGTCATGAGATCATTTTTAAAATCTGAATCAAAACTTTTGGTATCTTCTATAAACCGACATGGGTTGCTATATAATAATGTTCCAGGGTTCAGAAACATAAGAGAGTGTATTATTACATGCATTAGAGCAAGAATCACTAAAGATTAAGGATTATGCTTAATTTTGATATCTAGAGAGAGAAAATATTTATTCTTTTTCTTCTTATGATTTTCTGTGTAATTCTAGACGTAGGGAGATTGTTGCGAAATCGGCAAGTATACCGTTCGTTTCAAGTAATAAAGTGATAAGTAGAGTATCGTTCCCACGAGGATTAATGCACCAAGTACTAGTTTAACTATTCCCCTTAAGGTGGAAAATAAAATTGGTTTGAATTGTGAAGATAATTGATTTTGGAATTTAAAATAAAATAATATTTAAAAACAGAATTTAAAACAATTAATTTTTAACGCATGCAAGAAAAGATCAAGAACGCGAGAAAGTATTGATGAAAAATTTATAAAAAGGATGTAGTCAGGATACACTTCACCTTCGATCCTCCTTTATATTCCTATATTGTATTTTATAATTAATTAATTTGTTTGCTCAGACAATTCATTATTTCCCTATAAAATAGTTGAACCCTAATGTCTTGGTGATTTCAACCTCTTAACCCAATCAGAATTCTAATGTCTTAGTAATCCATCTTGAATTAAGCATTAAGCAAATGAATAACGAGTCTGCAATTTATGTAAGTCTATGTCTAGATCATACACAAATTGTTATTCTACCCTTGTCCAGACTAAAACCCAATATGTCTATTATGAGTCCTAACCCTCAAAGCCCTATAATTTAGAGTTATCAGTTCTAAACATGATATGAAAAATTAAACCAGGTAGAATAAAACAAACTAACTAATTAACTTATAAAATATCAATACATAAAATATAAAGGATTCACGTCGGGTCCGTGATCTCAACTACAAAAACAAACTAGCCAGACATAGCTGGCTTAAACAAATTAAAGAAATAAAAAGTATTCATGAAAACAATAAAGAAAAAAAAGAAGAAGAAGAAGAATCAATGGTCTTCGTTCTTCAACTCCGTCGGAATCCTGATCTCCAGCGTAAGCCTCCAAGAATTATCTCCAGCCAAAGATTGTTTGCCTCTGGGGTCTGAGTCTCTATTTATAGAGTTTATGCCTTGCTCAGAAATCTTGATCAAATCTTCACTAGAATCTCTAATCATATCTTGATTCAATCCTTCAAATCTTCCCCTTTTTATTTAATGGAAAATTTTCCTTAAAAATATTCAACAAAGATTTGATAAGATCTTGAATGATTCAGAAATCCAAAGCACTCTACTTGATATCTTCAATTTATCTATTTATTGAGCTGAAATTATTGCAAAATATCAGAATTCTTATGAGAATATTATTGAGAATAAAATAACAATTTAATTATAATTATCATAATTTTAATTACTTTTAAATCAATTTCATGCTCATATTGACCCTTAATACATAGTAAAATGGAGACTCATCAGAGATACTCTACAAGTTATAGTACAGATTGAGTGATTGGTTTGTGTTCAAATGGAGTTATCACATGTTTTAGGTTAAGAGTGATCAAGGGGTTGATCGTAGTCTTGTAAAATTACAATTATGATTTGGTTTCTGGTACAAGTGGAGTGATCCTATAGGTTTAAGTTAAGCGTGATTGGGGAGATCGCAGGTCTTGTAAAATTTATTTTGTAAAACAATTTCTCCAAGCACTGGTTAGAAGCTCGATGACAGTGAAACGATCGGCCTCAGTTTGGATGTAGCTCTCGGTGGTTGGAGAATGAACTAGGATAAATATCGGTGTTATCTTCTCTCTTCCCTTACATTTTATTTTTTCGCTGCTTATAACTCTCTTTGATTCATTGTTCTTTACATTATGAATCTATTTTTGGGGTTTGAGAATTTTTGTTAGTTGTTTAAATTCTCTCTTGCATGTGTTTTTGAAAAAGTGGTTTTGATTTACTTTATTTAAAGTGAAAAAGTTAAAACACAATCTCGCCGCCACCATCATCGCCACCATTACCACTACCATCGTCGCAGTCACCACCGTTACCACCACCACCACCACCACCATTATCACCATGTCATCGCCACCGTCATGCTACAACCAGTCAACCACCATGCCACGACCACCACCACCACACCATATGAAAAAGAAAGTAATGATCCAAAAAAAATTGTGCTTAATATAAATATTTTTTATTCTATTATTTGTTGTGTTATCAAACGCAATTTTTATTCTCGGAATAAAAAATATAACATGTTATTAAACACGTTTTTTTTTCTGTAATTGTTACAAGGCACAGAAATAAAAAATAATTGTTTATTTTCATAAACAGTGTCAGAGAACATAATAGTTGTCATGCACACCCCTAGTGTCTATATTGTATTAATGACGTTTTGCCACTTGAAATTATAGTATTAATAATTTTATCCTTGAGAAAACATATAGATTATTATTTTCGAGAAAACATTAATTGTTTTAATGTTTTTTTTTTTTTGGTATGCTGAGGAAAATCCCAGCAAGAAACTACAAAACAGTCACTGTTCGAGCTATACAAACAAAGGCTAAATCAACAATAAAAACGGACTGAATCTGAAAAGGGGGAAAACCAAAGCTACACATATCAGGAGCAGTAGTATTGTCCAGAGGATAATTCGCCAGCCAGTCAGCAACATAATTTCCTTCTCTATGAGTATGGACAAGTTGAATATGCTAATCTTTTTGGAACTAAGCCCGTATGCAAGTCACCAAGTGGGACTCACGGGCTGCAACACCTCTTCTAGAAAGAATGGTGATTGCAGATGTTGAATCAGATTCAACAATTAAATTTCTCCAGCCTTCCTCCCAAGCCATCTCCAAACCTTTAAGTATACCCCACAGTTTGACATTGAGAGCATTGTAATTTCCAATCCTGTAAGAGAAACCTTTGAGCCAGTGACCCTCATGAAACGAAATATAATGAAATAATAAATTTTAAAACTAAAAAAGTTTAGAGGATGAAGTTTTGAATTTTTGTCAAAATAAATTTATTTTAAATTGTAAGATAAAAATTATCAAAATATAAGTAAGATTGAGTTATAAAATTATATTAAAAAATATTAAGAATAAAAATTATAAATATTTTTTGTGTTCTGAAAATTTGTTTAATACATAATAACTTACACGTATACAAAAACTAAAAGTGTATTCAAATATTATTATAAACAATCGACAAAATTTTAAATTATGTAATTATTAAATTCCAAATTTAAGTCTTTACAAGTATGCTTGGATTGATATTTTTTGCACTAGTTTTTTTTTTTAATGTGTTCTCTTTTAAATATTTCGATACTGATATTTCCCCCGGAAACTACTAAATGAGAATTGTATTAAATATTTAGTCTATTCAATAAAAACTCATTGTCATAAATATTAAATTTACAAGCTCATGCAGTGCATGAACAAATTAACCAGTAATAATTATATCTTAACTTGTTCGATTTCATTTCAATTTCACGAAGCATAATTTAGGTATTTTAATCATGATATCAATGTTGATCTACCGTGAGGCACGTCTCCCGAATAGACATCCAGCGAGATAGTTTGCAAGAATCACCTCTGCGCACCAACGAGACTTAGTACTGATATACTCAACTAGTATATAAATAGAGGCTTGAAGCCCATGCATGGATCATCTTTCGCATACTAACTAAAGCTTATCACTCATAAGTGTCGGAGTGCCTTGCATGTACCTATCCTCAATCGTCCCAAACAACTAAGAGATCCAATCACAAAATATCTATTAGATTGATCAATAATATTGGAAGATAAAGCAAACACATTGAAATGAAATATTTAGCTACAAGAAAATGCATTAAAGTAAATAAGTTCCTCATTAAACACACTGAGTTGACGGTTGTAGATTCTATGACAAAATATTTACTAGCAAAGTTGTTCAAGGATCAGCGGCGGAGCTAGCAAAGTATTTTAGCTAGTGCCAAAAATTTCAGCTGGTGCCAAAATAGCTACGATTATATAGCTACGTTCAAAACATGGCTAATTTTTAAAAAATTTGAAACATGATTTGCTACGTTTATTTAACTACGCTTGGAACGTGGCTAAATTAGCTAGTGCCAAGATACCTGTTGGTACCAGCGTAGCTCCGCCACTGTCAAGGATCATGTAATGCTTACGAGATTTAATGTAGCCGCACATACTTTGATGTATATACATTGGTTGTGAAAGACATATTTTTTACTCTAAATAAGTATTTGAACATGTTGAGACTTTTGCAAGGAATATATTACATCACAATTTATAAAAGGTGATATTTGTTTACAAGAGAATTTATTACTGTGGTTGGAAGCATACTACAAACTCAAAGGGGGATTGACGAGGTATTCAAGTGTCATCAACCCCATATTCATTAATAAAGATCTAAGTGAAGGTTATATAAATGGAATGATCCATGAACCCACTATTCTAAAGTTTTGGGTTAAAATTTTACATTGATCCGTTGTTGGGGTTTGACTAGCATTAGAGTGACAATTCGAGTTGACACAACACGATTTAAATTTAAAACAAACACAAATACACGTAACATGTGTTGCTTATTATGCTAGTTAACATGACACAATAAGATATAGATAACACGTATATTGAGTTTCGCTTTCGCTAGTGTCGTGTTTGACACGACACAAGTAACCTGTAAGAAGATTAAGTCAATTTCATATTTGTGGGTTGACACACAGTGCAATATGATTTTCCCGTGTCAACTTTTTTATCGACATAAACACGACACAAATTTAAAAACAAGTAGACCCAAATACTAATTTCTCGTTTTGTGTTCATATCAGCAGGTTGTGTTAAAAATTACTATCCCTAACTAGCATAACCTATTGATTGTCCCTCACTATGGGCTCCTTATCCCCCTCTTATCCTTAACCCCATACGTGAGCTAAAGATGTTAGCATAATGGATATCATAAAATGGCCCATAATAATAATAATAAATGTTTGTCATTTTAAATGACATAAGTTATGTCATTTTAAGCGAGAGATAGACATAAGGAATGAAAATCATGGGAGAGAAAATGATTGTTTTTTTAATTTAAATTTTTAAATAAAAATTATTATTATGTGTCTATCTCTCTCTTAAAATGACATAAATTTATGTCATTTAAAATGACAAATACTTTTCCCTAATAATAATAGTATTTACGAGTATAAAAAACAAAATAAACTTGATTGTGGAACGATTAAGGGAATCATAGATATCCACTTTCTACTTAAAGAGAGTTTTTATTTTTTTAATGGAGAAGACACTAACCTCTAAAAACATAACCCATAATTCTTTGTCTAAACATATAGTAAAAAAAAAAAAAAAGTATCGATTTCATTTGCGGTAAATTGCTCATATTGGAAGCATTTTTGCGTGTTCGTTCGGGGTGTTGCGATTTTGCAATTTGTGCAGAAGGTTAGTAAGATCTTATATTTCTTTATTGAACATGAAAATTATGGTTAATATATTCATATTGCAAACATGATTTCCGGAACACCTTATAACTATTAGGATGTGTTTGGTTGGAGGATTGTGGTGAGATAGATAGGGAAATTAGAAGTGGGATTATAAGATATCCATGTTTGGTTGACCAGCTTTCAAATTTGCCCACCTAAATCAGTTTGCTAAGTAACCCATTGACATGGCTATTTGGATCTAAATTGATGGGCAAATATTCTCACTTTAGATGTGGTATTCCGCTTATCTACCTAAATTTTCACATTGTCTAATAAGTAGATGACGACCCTATCCTCTGAAGATTGTATATCCTCTGACAACCCATTTGCATGTAGGTGAAAAAGGGTTCTCAGGTCTTCACCTTGCGTTTTTATGTTTTGGATTTTGTTGGTTGGTGTCTTTGAAAGTGATCGTTGATTAAATTGTGATTCTGGGTACCCTTCATTTTGATTACTGGGAACTGATGATCAAAAGATTGTAACTTTGTATTGCGAATAATCTGTTTGTATCTGTGTCTAGTGCTTAATGGGTGTGATCCAGATTGTTGTTGTTTTTCTTTCAGCAAGTTATTGATCTACTAAGGATGAAAAGAAAAAGGAAGATGATGGGAAGGGTGGATTCCTTGATACGGTAAAGGATTTCATTCAAGATGTTGGTGAGAAAATTGAGGAAGCAATTGGATTTGGAAAGCCAACTGCAGATGTTGCAGGGATACACATTCCAAAAATTAACAGGGATATTTTTGTAATAGCAACTTTTTTCCCATCTATATTTTACCTACAACCAAATATAGACTTTATAAAAGTTACCTAATTTTTCAGGTTAATTTTTTTTTTAACCAAACAACTTTTTTTTATATTTTCCTACCAAATTCACTCTCCTACCATTTCCTACCAAATTCACTCTCCTACCATTTCCCTATGAATATCATTTTCCTATTATTCATAAAATTTCTACTCAACCAAACAAACGCCCCTTACTTTTTACAGTGCAGGGTTCTCATTCTGATAAAGCTATACTGGATTTGATAATTTGGTACGGAAATCAATGAGTAGTGGCCATGGCAAAGGCAGCTTTCGAGTAACGATGTGTGTGTTTCCTGTTTTGCTGAACTAATCAATATTTAGATTTGATTTTGTATTTTCAACTGTTATCATAAGGATCAATGGTTCAATGTCCATCAATATTATTTTTGGGAGGGATATAAGATTTCGATCCCAGCCTCACTCCGCACTTGAGTTTAGTTTCCTAATCGGTTCAAAAAATTGAAATTTGTTGAGATACCCGAATGAGCCTATTTGACTCAAAAAAATAATTAGAGTTGATATAAACAAGGAGATGCAGTTATGAAATCTATGTGAAGTTATAATGGAAAACGAAATACACACGAATCTTCCAGTCTCAATCATTATTAGTGTTGGGTATGACTCATATTGATGAGACCCTTGTTGGCGGAATCAGTAAAAAGACAATTGTGATTGTGATCCCGCAGAGGCTTGCAATGGGCCTCTGAATTATTGTAATTTTATTTTTTTAGTAATTTGAGTTTGGATCCATGAATAACTGTTATTAAGGTTTTCTAAATTCTATTTATATTCATTTGTAAATAAAGTAACTTGTAACAAATGGTGATGATGTGAATATAATACAGACTGAGATATATAAAATTATTAATATAGTCTCACACAACAGCTTAAGTTTTGAGTTGAATTGATTCTTTACAAGTTGAACATAACCTATATTAAATGAATAAGAATAAATTACTCGTGATGCGTTGGAAATGGGCAACTATGCTATATAAAAATGGATATGAGATGGATATAGAGCACCATGTGGATGTCGATGAGCAATGATTCTAGAATGGAGAATATTACCTGTGGCAATGAAACATGAGAATGCTGTAGTAGCAGTGCACAGTACTGCACGTGAATAGCTGCCAGGCAGTGGGAATGGATGAAACCAATGAGATAGGGTGATGAAGTAAGATAGTAAATATGAGAGAGCTCAAATTATAGTGTCAAGTGTATCCACTTCAAATGAAGCCAAGAAGGATAGAGTAACAAGTTTTTTTGGGATTGTTTTCAATGAATTTTGAGTACACCTAATGAAAATGAAAGTGCTGATCCATAACGGGACTAAAGAATAGAACCATGGATGGAATTTAAATAAATAAATAAATAAAAAATCTATATCTATACTTGGTGGCATAGCATTTTGCAACTAGCATGCCTTTGATTACTTTATTTTTTTTGAGAGAATCTGGTATCCCTTTAATCGATAACATCGTTCACAACTTTATTTTTCACAAAAATAGAAATAAAAATTCCAGTCCATTCACGAAATAAAAAGGCTGATTAGCCGAAGTAGGGTTGAGAATCTTCCCCTTGCTCAGCATGTAATCAAGTGATGGTGAAGAGTGAGGGGAAGTTGCTTTCCTCGCTACATTTTGTCTTTAGCCTCGTTACTATTTGCTTATACCCCCGCCATAAATGCATCAAAATCAATTGAAAGGCAACAAAAAAGTTGGTACGATCCTTTCTCACCACAGCATGACTGATATGACATGCATGATGCATCAATTGCATCTGCTCTCATGCTGGCCAATTAAATAGGTCACCCCAAAAAATTAACAAAAGAAGAGAAGGACAATATCAGATATAATTTGTGTAGACTATAAAGCTGTGTGGATACTGATGAGCCAAATACTAAATAGTATCCCTTTCAATTGGGTACCCATCACAATTATTTATTGCTAATATAGTGGTGGTTGGTTGATACGGTAAAAGCATATATAATCTTTTTGTGTTTATACTTCAAAATGCTAGTTTGATGGTTGTTTGTGGTCCTAATCACTTCCGCAATAGCAGTCAGCATTTAATAACTTAACAATCACACAAAGCAAAGCTCAATTTGGATAAATAATGGCTGAAAAATGTGGCACATATATACATTCAGCAATAAAAAGAAGATTCATTCCTAACTGATAAACCATTCCAATCATGTTTGCTGATTAGGGGAAACTCACCAGACCAACAAAATGTGGCACATATCCACATTCATCATCTAATTATGAATACTACTGGATTTTCACCTTGGATAGCTTCCCTTTATCTTTTTTAAATTTATTTAATTTAATTTTTTTTTATCCTCGTTGGAGTAATATAAATTGAAATATGTACTTGGAAGTTTTGAGAGAGTATATATAAAGTACGAAGTAGAAACAGAAAACTGTGTGGCGAGGGGATTATTATATTACTGATGAAAACATGAGGCTTTTAAAGTACCGTACCAAAAGAAAAAGGATAGAACTTGGAAGTGGGATGCTCAAGGCTTACATAAAAAACAGAAAAATGAGTTTGGCTTTGAGTGGACGTGACATTTACGAGTGGGGAAGGCCCATACGGAGTCAGTACTGTGTCAAAGGCTGTTTTCAGCACATAAAAGGGGACTTGTTTACAGCGCTGCTGAGGCTGCAGAATGTACCCGTGTTTACCCATCAATGTGTTCACTGCACATTCAATGCATATGTTCATAAGTCATAAATAATTTTACTGAATGCTCCTCCTAGACATGGGTCATGCTAATTATTCACTTAGTCATGGTTCATTACTTCATTGTCAAATAGCAAATAGCACATAGACATAGATAAAGACCTACAAAATTACAATTTCACATAACCCCATGTGCACGTTTTGGGGGGGGGGGGGGGGGGGGGGGGGGCACAATGGTCGAAACAGTATGTTGTCCGAAGAATAAAATTACAAATTGAGAAAGGGGGTTTTAAAAAGAAAAAAGAATCTGACTAGCTTTACTAAGGAAGAATAAGGGGAACACAGATGTAAAAGGATTCTCTTGGGGTTACTTTATAATGAAGTTGATATTAGTTAGGTTTTGTCATTTTCCTTGCAGTGTTTCATGCTGGTTGAAGGGTTGTGTGTGTACGAAGCAGCCAATGGCTAAGGTCGTGCAATTATGTAAAATAGAGAGATGGGATAGATAATGCATTTAACAACCCAATATTAAATATGGCTGATGAAATAATAGCATTGGGAAGGGGAGAATTTTAATGGACTTTATTATGCAGGTACTTTTTTGATAGTAACCTAACCCTTGCACTCTCTTTTTCTCAAGAGGTGTGACCAGACCCCACTCTACACAAATGAAAAGATTGAACAATACAATACAATACATCAAACAAAAAAAAATAAAAAATAAAAACATGGTAATGGTAAACTCTCTAAATTATTGGGGAAGACAAAACAAGAATGAGAAAGAAAGCTACTACTACCCCTTCTTTCGCTACTACTACCCCAAAACAAAACCGGACAATTTACAAATTGTGGAATGAGAATGGCACCAACAGCAAGACAAGTGAGGCAAAGGGCAAGTAGTAAATTGACCCATCAAACAAACAAAAACCCATGTAGTAGAGAGAGCACTGCCACACTACACTGTGTATATAGTATGTAAACTCCTCCCAACAGACAAACACAATACTCAATTATTTGTGTCCATCTTCTTCCCATATTGTTCTTGTTCTTGTGTGTCAGTGTTTGCGTGTGTGTGTGTGTGTGTGTGTGTGTGTGTGTGTGTGTGTGTGTGTGTGTGTTTGTGTTTGTGTTGGGTGGTGGTTTAGCACTTGAACTTGAAGATGCCACGTCCAGGGCCAAGGCCTTACGAGTGCGTGAGGAGAGCTTGGCACAGCGAGCGCCACCAACCCGTGAGAGGTTCCATCATTCAGCAGATTTTCAGGTTCTGGGTTCATCTCCCTTTCCCCTTTCTTCGTCGTTTTTACCCTTGTTGTGCTTGCGCATTCTCTTGACTTTATTGCACACCACGTGTTTGATTAGGGTCGTGAGTGACGCTCACAGTCCCGCAACTAAGAAGAACAAGGAATGGCAAGAGAAGCTGCCTGTTGTTGTTCTCAAAGCCGAAGAAATCATGTACTCCAAAGCAAATTCCGAGGTTTTTATAGTTTCACAAATGCTTGTGGAATGTGGATTCTTAGATCTTTCACTATAATGCGTAAACCCCTTTTGCTCAAATTTTTTCTGATTTGGTTGCTTAGGTAGAGTACTTGAATCCTGATACACTTTGGGAACGCCTCAATGATGCCGTTAACACAATCATCCGGAGGGATGAGACCACAGAGACTGGAGACCTCTTGCCCCCATGTGTTGAAGGTACTCAATTTTTCACCTTCTTTGGATCCACTTCTAATAATTTGTGTCAAAATCCTATTTTGATGTGTCATTTTGGGAATATGGGTAGAGTATAGACTGAAGATTAGTAATTCTGAGCTTCTAGTGATATGCTTTTTTTTTTTGGTTTTCTGGGTCCATTCCGTATGTTGATCAGCTGCACTTAACCTGGGATGCAAACCTGTAAGAACTTCAAGAAGTGATCGGCACAATAACCCCAGGACATATCTTGCCCCAAGATCTCAACAACCTCCTTCTGGGTCTCCTAAACCTGTTGGGGGGAATCCCTTAAACTATACAAAAGTCACATCTGCTACTGTTTCACAAATGCCTGTATCAGAATCTAGGCAGCATACCCACCAAATCCCAGACAGTTTCCCTTCTGGTTATCACCAGCCATTGTCAATGGAAGCTAAATTCGCATTGAACATGGGTTCAGTTTACCCGTTGTACTATGGTTATGAAGTCAGAGAGCCTCAACTAAGGACGACCACCCTAGATAACGCAGGTTCTGACACAATATTTGTTGGCAGACCTGTCATTACTCCAGTCCCCGAGCCATCTGGAATTGGTCTATTGGAAAACTTCTCCCATGGTAGATTCCATCATGTTGCAAACAAAATTGCAGAAGAAACTGCACTTGGCATTCAGGAGGACTCACGAGATACTGGATGCGATTTATCTTTGAGGTTGGGTCAATATTTGCATCCGTGTTCCAGCAGCAAAAGTAGTTCAGTATATGAAATAGATAATGTTGGTTTAGGAGTTTCTCAGGAGGGCAACAAGTTTAGTCATCTATATTTGCAGAAAAACAAAGAGTTCTGTTTTTACCCGGGAGAGACAGGTTATGGTACCATTCACTCCAATTCTACTAAAAGTAATGTAGAGGGTGAAGATCCGAACTTAGAAGCAACTTTTGGGAAGCGCAAAGCACCTTCAGGTAACAATGAGGAGGATGGGAAATTTTGCCGGCAACTAGGGGTCCCATCCAATCGTTTTACTGGCAGGCCAGGTTCGTAGACAGTCTTTCTTGTGGTATCATATATGCATTTGCAAATCAAAAATGTCCGAAATGTTGTTGAATCCTCTTATGTAGACTCTTTATGTGTAGCTCTCCTTGTGAAAATTTTAGAAGCTGCCATCGAGTTACTAATTGCATTGCTGCAAATGTGAATTGTATATAAAATCTTAGCTTGCTTTGTTTAGTTTCTGCTTGACTCTGATAAGATCAAAAGAGAAAAGAATGAAATGGAGTGACTAAAAGGAATCGTATCTCCTGGTAAAAGATTAAAGAAGTGGTATAATTTAAATTCGATGCGTGGCAAAAATATAATAGATATATAACGTTATATACTTGCTATCTGAACCAAGCCTAATTCAGTGTGGCGAAGACTTTAATCTGCTGACTGGAATCTCTGTTTTCTCAGTCATGATTAGCTTCCTAAACCCAAGTCTATTGGCTTCTGGCTTTCAGCGATATCTATTATTACAAATTATCAAGCGAGATGTCCCGGGGTGTGATTTTTATTATCAAGTGGTCAGTGACAAAAGTAACTGTAGAACAAGCTTCAGACATCAACATTACTAAAACCCATAAACTCTAGCTGCATAATTCTAAATCTGAATCATGATTTGAAAATCAGAAATAGAAAGAAAAAGGAATAAATCAAGTGAGAAGACATGAGAATATTTTGAAATGGTCAAATTCATGATTTAGTTATCAAGGTCGCCTAAAAAATGGGGGAGGGTGGTTGCTCTGATTATCTGCTAGGGCATTAACTGGATGGAGGGATTAGGGCTGAAACAATCTCAAAATAAGCTTTCTAACTCTGGATAGATCAAATCAGAAATTCTTAGGTGCACATTGTTGCCTACCATACACAATCCATTCAACATTAAACACATGTAATGTAGTGTGGATCATGCTATATGCACTTATTTCTCAAATATGCTTTTAAACATGTCACCTGTTGAACTGCCTACCTAAAGAATTTCTCAACATCCTATGTACTTGTCCGATCCTTGATCACATTAGCAGCATACATGCTTGAATGTGGACAGGGATTCATTTTGAAGTCTATCTGATCAAGTTCATTAGAAGTGTGTTTCAAGAGAAGGATGAATGGCAAATTTCCCTGCTGTACCCGGCCTGATCTAAGCTAGGTTTTTGGTCGTAACATTTGAGGAATAGACATCTAAGCCTCAAAACTCAAGAAAGATAACTCTTATTGGGTATATTCAACATTGTTTTGAAAGATTAATCCTTGGTTAGACGTAGTATATTATAAGACATTTAAATTATCGTTTGACATGAGGAAGATTATGTAGGCTATGTTAAAAATGTACTTACAGTAGACCATGTCAATGCATACGTCAAATTATAATAAGTTCTTAATAAATGATAAGTAGGCTGTGTTTAAAAGAATTTCTCCTTTTTGATAGTGTGGGATTGCCTTATGAAATTTTCTCAGTAATCAGCCTTTAGCCCTTTATTAGTTGAGGGGTGTTTATGTAATTCAGTGCCGTCGAACCATCAATAAAAAAAAAGTTATGACAACATAGAACCAATCATTCGAAGGAAAATTATCTTCATGGCTGACACAAATTTATAGATTTTAAAGAAGAGATCTCTCTTGTTCTAAAAGTACCTCTTTAGTAAAATGCATTAACAAATATCGATTGTTGGAAATTCATTTAATGTAAAGACATTCTTTTCTTTTTTTAACCATACAGTTTTAGTTCTGTCGACATCATGCATTGATAGTGTTTTAATTGTTCCGCAAACTCGTATTACCTGTTGTTGATGTGTCATTGATTGCCATATGCTTCTTAACGAGGTTGTCATCATGAATCACCCTCAAAACAGAGCATGCACGACAATTTTCACTAATCAAAATAATCTCTATGGATCTTGTTTCCTGTGGATTGATGTAACCTGGCATCTTCACAGACGAATGATACGAGCATTGAGCTTCCGTCCAGTCTTCTCTGCATTGATTTCTTACGTGAAATTTGATCTGTTTGAGACATGTTTTTTCCTCATCGACCAAGAGAAATAGATTAATGAGATAAGAATAGATAAAAGAAACGGAAAATTGTTAATTTTTTATTTTCAAATAATACGTAACTCGATAATTTTATATATTTACTGTGTGTCTTTTTCATTAAGCGTTGTTAATTTAATAATTTTATTGTTTTGAGTTATGACATGACATGACAGTGTGTTTATTTGGCATGCCGTCTTTCCCTTGCCATAAAATTATTAAAGGGTTTTATGTTTATCGTGTAACATGATATAACATCACTTTCCTACACACACACTAAAGAGGTGGGGTCCACATGTTTTTCTTTCTCTTTCATCATTCCACTTTCTCTCTTCATTTTTGTGTGTGTGTTGGAAACAACACTTAAATAATGTAACATAACACTAATAAAACTCATTATTAAAAGAGAAAAATGTTTCTCGGACATAAAATTATCTCCCCAAAATGACATTTTTTGGGGTTCCTGAGATGTCACTAAACCCATGTTAAAATCGCAGGTACCATCGGGTAACGAATTAAGGAAAAGATACCGATCATGTTTTTTATATAAAAATGTTGTCTAGTGTGATAATTCGATATCTATTCGGCTCAAAAGATAAGAAGAAACTTGAAGCCAACTACTATGTTCTTTGAGCTAAGGCCTACTGATAAATATGTTTTTTCGTATATAAAAAGATGTATTAGGCGAATTGAAAAAAACTCTACTGCGAAATGTAAAGAAAGATAATAAATCAAAAAAACAGGTAGATAATGACTTAAATGAAGAAATACGGAAAGTGTATATTAAAATTCCATTAATTTTGTTTTTGTAAACTATTCATTTATGAATAAAAGATAAATGATAAAATGAATAATATACATTTAACTTTAGATTTCTCAAAATATAATAATATAAACTGGTTACAGTCGTTTTATAGTCTTTTCAAAATATGAAGGTTGCAAATTATTTGCAAATTCTTCTTATTAGTAGATGTATTAGAAGAAAAAAATGGGACTTCATACGTTTTTAATATATAGCTGGTAGATTAAATGGGTCACAATTATATTGATTTTGGGTCTTGAATTTGATTTTAGTTATTAATTGTTTATGGGTCAAGGTTGTGCATGCTAATACAATTGCTTAAACTAGTTGAACAACTTTAACGAATTTTATTTTATTTTATTTTTAAAAAAAAACTAGTTGAACGTAGGTTACGCTGGAGTCACTGGAGGCAAAATTTTGCTTGTATTTTTGTTTGTCCTTTAGTATTCTAAACATGTCACTGATATCCAATCTTTAGTATTGAAGTAATTCATCCTTATTATCATTTTAGTTTAAAAAGAAAACTAATATCTCCTACTTTACTTATTAGATTTAATATCCATACGTTAGCATACATATATATATATTTATACTGAATGTAGATTCAGCTAGGTAAAGATTGTAAATTTAAGCTGCAGTGATGACATATAGTATTAAAAAAGTAAGTACACTTACTAATTTTATAATTTGAATTTTATTTAAATAACATGCTGACTTATATTAAATTAAATAATATGTAATTATTAATGTTATGAGGTCACGTAATTATTACATCAAATAGGGAGTAGACGTATCCTTGCGTTTTGGTTTGAATATAGCCCTATTGGCTGATACAAAAATAACAAACAATGATAATTAAAAAGAATTGAAAATAACAAATAGAAAAGATAAATATTGTAAATGCATGATAAGTTTGAATATAGCCCTATTGGCTGATACAAAAATAACAAACAATGATAATTAAAAGGAATTGAAAATAACAAATAGAAAAGATAAATATTGTAAATGCATGATAAGGAGTGACGAAACGTATTCACGGGTCGGATTTGTGTGGTGTTAACTGTTAAGGCTGATTTGCGGGTCAAAGGGTCCAACCCGATACGTTTTTGTTGAAGGGTCAAAACTTAAAATCCGAACACGAGCTGAAAAATATTTAATATGCTCCAGGATCATCCAATGATTTGGTGCTTTCTCTCATAACACTAATTTTTTCTTTTCCTTTTTACTCCTGTTATTTTTTTTTTAATTTTACCCTTCCATTTACACAAAGGGTCTACCTAAAAAATAATGGTCTGGGACCACAATAAATTCTCTCCACGAGCTGCTGTCATGCGGTTGACACGTAAAAATTAAAATTAGACTTTTTTATTTAAAAAAATTAAAAATAGAAAGGAAAAATCAAATAAAATATATGTTGATCGTGATCCAAAACGAATTGTGTTAAAATCACTAAAGTTTTAATTTTTTTTTAAATAATTGCAAGTTAATACACAAATAATGTGAATCAACACGTGACCTGACATGATAATAATTTATTTTATTCAAACTCGTACACAATCCATTTTATTATACTACTATCCCGTGTTATGAAATTCGGCTTTATTCGGAACTAACCGAACCGGCCTGATAATCGGTTGGAGTCAAGCTTTGGAATCGATCAAAATCGGTGACCCGGTCGGGTCATACAGTTTTATAAAAAAAATAAAAAAAATCAAAATTGTTTTATTTTGTTAGAAAAAAAAGTATAATTCATTTTATAAATTTTTATAATATTATTTGCTAGTAATATGCTCTACTATAATTACCTCAAATTTCAACTTTTAATACTGAAGAAATTTGCGGAACAATAAAATAAGAGAATGTGATATACTTATTTCAATGTAGATGAATTTAAAATAATATGAGTTCGTAACATATGGCCTTTTGAATGTCATTAAAATGGCGTTTGGTAGAGGAGGAAATTTTTTTTACTAGGAAAATACAATTACTAAGAATATGATGGTGGAAAAGGGAGTTTAGTAGGAAAGTTAAAAAAAAAAAGTTGTTTGGTAGACCGAAATATTACTAGAAAAATTGGATTAAGTTTATCAAGTCTATGTTTGGTTGAAAGTAAAATATTGATGAAAAATTGGGTTGAAAATACGAAAATAACCCTTTTATAATTTTTGAATCTGAAATACACACTCACTTAACACGATGAGAGGGTCATTTTGGTTCATGATTTTGC